CCCAGTCGGAACAGAAAAGTAGGACGTTAAACCCCATTTCATTTCATTTGTGAAAAATGCGTTTGAAATAATGATTAAATCATTCAAAAAATTCAGGTGACAAAGAAAATCTTCTGGCAAATAGCCGCAGACAACCCTCAACTGAGATTGGCCCACTATGCCCGCACCATTAAATTCCTTGTAATTATTATAAACGTTTGATTTCCTGTAGATGAAATACCATTAACAACAGATATCCAAGTGATAACTAAATGTAGAGAGAGAAATAAACACAAACCAGGTCATTTTGGGACTAACAAATTGGACAATTTCAATAACACATCCGAGAATGCCGAAAACATATAGTATATGCCGTATCTTTGATTCTACCAGTCGAGATGAAGGGTCCAATGTTTGGTATAACCTGTCGTCCTAATTATGTAAAGCTGCAGAGTTATATAGCTTTAGCATATATTTTTTCATAATATTCTGACCGAGGGAGGGGGGGGGGCTGGAGGTCGGGTGTTCGTTCCCTGCATTGGCCGAGAAAGTTCACCCAGATTTTCCGGCGTGCTTCCCCCTTGTCAGTGATGAATGACGGAGGGCCTGACAAGGACAGCTGTCTAGTCATTCGGATGATACGAAGACCGAGGCCCCTGTACACATTGGCGTGTACGTAAAAGATCCCTTGACATTTGGAATTCCATATAAGAGTAGGCCGTAGTGCCGCTGTCCGCGCAAAATTTCCCTCATAGCACACTGTATAAGAAGTGAACCCGTGTTTGTACCCCAGAACTTAAACATCCGTTTCGGCACGCATGCACACACTTCATGCGCGCAAAATCTGCCTATTGCAGGTCTTTCTTTAGGCCTGAAATGTTATCTTAATTAGACATTAATTAACTTATCCGACCATAGTCAACTCCCGATGTCATCGCTAGCGTGCGATATTTACTGGATTAGGAGCCGATTTGCTGCTCAATTTTCATTCATGATTAAATCATGAAATGGTAAATCGAGACTATGTTGTTTTATCGTTCCGACTTTAGTAATGATGATCGAGACTAGAACCAAAATTCATTTATCAAATTCTCGGTTCAGAGTGGATCAATTTGACAGAATTTTTGTTAGTAAATACCCTTTACATTATCTAGTTTTTAACTATTATAGTGAGAACTGCCAGCTCTTTATCTAATCTCCCATAATGTATCTTTAAATATTGTTAACCGATCCCTCATCCTTCTTCTGAATAGGTTGTCATTTTATAAGAAATGAAATTCAATGAAATGCGGTTTCACGTCGTACTATTTTGTGGAGCTAATAAAGACAGACATTTCGTAGGAACAGACATAAATAAACGGGTTGGTCGCCTGTGAGGTCAGACATATCTGTGATATGCTAATGTTTTTTTAATTAATTGTATATTATATGTCTTTTTTTATTTATTATAATTGTATATATTGATATCATTGTATTCTAATTAAACTTTATAAACCCTGTTATGTGAAATAAAGCAGAGTAATAATGTAATCTATGATCGCTCCGTGTATAGCGGCTAATGTTAAACATCCAGTAGAGGTCAGATTGTATGTGTAGGATAAAGCACGAGACTGAGGTTATGCTGGGGAAAGAAAGACTGAACAATATAACGGGAGAGAAAGTAAAGCCGATGCCGACAGGCCGAGGTTTTTCTGTCGAGTGTTTTTTCTGAAGTCATTCTTCCCCAGCATAACTGTAGTCGAGGGCTTTATCTTGCTTATAAACCGTCTATGTTTACATGTACACAAGATGAGAATATCCCAGAATTCCCACAAGAAAAACCTTATATCATGTTTTCTTATGGGGAAAAAACCTACCCTGGAAGAATAACCAGTTACAAAACCTCCCCCGACTTTCAGACCGCAAGTTATTCCGGGCATAGAATATACCCCAAAGATCAAAGAGATTTACCGTTACAGGTTTATAATTATTGGTGAAAGCCGTCGAAGGGGCGTGTCTAGGGACTGTGTTGATTATCTTACCATATTGAACTAACGAATGAGACAAACTGAATATCAATATAATAAAAAAAATTCGCCTTCCCTTATTTCTTTAAAAAGAATAAAATCTTATTTTCACAAGGCAAATGAAACAGTCAGATCATACAGAGCAGACTGTGACTGAGACTGTATTGTAGCGACCTAAGAGGAAATAAATGTTTACAACATATCTCCGGGGATCCATCTTGCAGTCATATGTTCTCCTCTGGTGCCCTTTATACTTAGATGCACAAAGTAGTGGGACAATGTCCTGGTATTTACTCAGAGTGTGAATGTAGACAAAGTTTTAATAATTAAATGACGATATAAGTCAATATTTATGAACATGAAGCAACCACCAGCATAAAGACAGGAATGGCTTTGATTCTCTTGAATGTCCTGTCCGGGCATTAACGCAGAGAAAATCATGATTTATCGGACTTAATCTGACAATGCCCCCAATTAAACGGTGTTCTGGCAGAGAAGTCATCCAAATATATTCAAATTTATATATATGGTGTTAACTAACCGAGAAACTACAATCAATTCTTCAGTTAGAAAAGAAAGGATGATTACCGCCTAAACTGCAGAAGCATTGAACACCCGGTGGCTATGATTCTCTTAAAACGTCGAATGGCGAACGCCAAAAAAATAATAATACGAATAATGCGACTTGATGATATGGATTGGACACCGTATACTGATCCTACTGATCCAAGAGTAAAAAGTGCTATTGAAGATGTCTACACCTTTTCACATTTAGTGGGTTTATGATTTGGTTTCAATATTTTTTGTCTATTTCATGCTGATTATGGTAAATGAAGTAAACTAAAGATAAAATTGTTCCGTGTGGAGTTTCACTTTTGTTGTAAACCACATTTCTGTGAAGCGGATTATAGTTTTAATCCTTTTGTATTTGATAATCCCCATGCTGGATGCTGGACTACTCCAACCATGAGAGCAATAGCGTGGGGTGGTGGGTTGGGGGCCATAACGATATGATCACCATGCTATGAACACACCAAGATTAGGCAATTGCAATTCACTTGTAATTAACGTTTGGCATGGCATCCTGAATACGATACAATTGATCCAACATTCAAAACTCAATTTGTGAAGCAAACCAAGAAGCGTGATCGCATTACTCCTATAATGCATCAGTCTCTCTGAATTCCTATAGGACATAACTACCTACGTTAAGACTCAGTTAAACATCCGCCATTTTGGACAAGTTGTGTAGTCTAAGCGTTGGTGGACTCGTTCGAATTTTATATTTGCGGTCATATTATATGATCTATCTGCAAGTAGGAGTTCCGGCTCTGCACAGGCACAGTCTTGAACCGGATGAAGTATAATCCCGGAACTAGAAGTGACAAGGTGTGGCCATCGGGCCTATATCACCCCACTGTTCGAACAGACAAACAGCCAGCCTTAGTGTAGCCACCAACCGCCAACAGGTGAACAGATACACTACCAGCCCTAGTGTAGACACCATCCGCCAACAGGCGAACAAACTACCAGCCCTAGAGTAGCCACCAACCGCTTAGGTTTGTCTTTGAGACACGCAACAGCAGACGAACAATAACAAGACTAAAAGACTAAGGAATTTTTACACAGGGGTTTAAAGTGATATTTGTTACATACAAGAACGTTTTTATGGCTTTAACCCATATTTTTTACACCTCTTTCATATGTAAATAATCTTATAAACAAACCAATCTGTCAATCATATATAATATCCACTGTATTGAACGTTAGAGTTCTGCTCCGAACTCTGCTATGAGGGACATTTTGCCCTGACAGCGGCACTACGGCCTACTCTTATATCGAATTCCAACTGTTAAGGGATCTTTTACGTGCACCCCAATGTGTACACGGGACCTCGGTTTTTCGTCCCATCCGAAGGACTAGACAGTTGTCCTTGTCAGGCCCCCGTCCTGCATCACTGACAAGGGGGAACCACGCCGGAAAATCCGAATAAACTTTCTCGGCCAATGCAGGGATCGAACACCCTACCTCCAGGCTAGCGAGCCAGCGTCTTACCCACTTAGCTACCGTGATTCCCGTATTGGACGTTAAAACTGTAACAGGAGGAACAAAGAAACATAATTAACATCTCATTTTACAGATGATTATTAAAACGACTTCTCTTGTTGTTATTGTTGTTTTGCTGTTGCTTTCAATAAGGGGGGACTGCAAAGGAAAGTGCACGGATAGTTACTGGTCCCAAAAACGATATTAGGATTAAATGAAGCCACTATCTGTTTAAAGAAGATCTGAACAGGTTATAAGGTAATTTAAAGGTATATATCCGTGCAGTAGGAGAATTTTGCCAGGTGAGCGTCGCTCCCGTCGACTCTTTTGCAAATTCCTACTGCGAAGCGTTTCTTGAATTTTCGTCGCACATCGCACCAATATTCCTTGAATCTATCCACCCATCCGATTCGCCTTAACTGTATTACATTATTGCTGTTAAAAGGGGCTAAGCTAGCAATTCATAACTTAAATTATAATTTAATACAGTAACTTGTTCTTCAACCGGGGGTTGTTCCAACCCACAAAATTTGTGCCCGAACAACTCCACGCTAGTCCGGGTTTTGATCAAAACAATTTAGAAACTTACCCCGAGAAGAGATGCCCTTGGCTGTTCCAATTATGATGCCCCCCCCCCCAATCCGCTACGACTAAAAGGAAGGTGGAAGTGGGTTTTCAACATAATTGATCAACCGAGGCTGATGACGGATGTCTGAGACTATAAGGTAGAAAGTCGCACTATATCTTGATGTCCTAGGCGTCAGTCTTCCATGTCTATATGTAAATCCGACACTGTCCCTATATAGAAGGTTATGTTAAGGGGTCACGTGGACTATGACGTCACCACATTTACCTCAACACAGACCCTAGGCACGCCCCTTCTACGGCTTTCACCAATAAATTCAATCTGACCTCGACTGGATGTTGAACATTAGCGACTATACACGGAGCTATCATAGATTACAATATTACTCTACTTTATTTCACAATACAGGGCATATAAAGTTTAATTAGAATACAGAATTACACATGGTATCAATATATACAATATTGTAATAAATAAATAAATATATATAAATATTCTAATGAATTTAAAAAATATTAACTTATCACAGATATGCTTGACCTCATAGGCGACCAATCCGTTAATTTATTTCTGTTCCTACGAAATGTCTCTCTTTATTAGCTCTGCAGAAAAGTACGACGTTAAACCGCATTTTATTCCTTACAATATGGAAACCTATTCTGAAGAAGGATGAGGGATCGGTTAACAATATTTAAAGATACATTATGGGAGATTAGATAAAGAGCTGGCAGTTCTCACTATAAAAGTTAAAAAATGTCAGTTACATTGATCCACTCTGAACCGAGAATTTAGCTATTGAATTTTGGTCCTAGTCTCGATCATCATTACCACAGTCGGTACAATAAAAACATAGTCTTCGAGTATCCATTTCATGATTTAATCATGAATGAAAGTTGAGCAGCAAATCGGGTCCTAATCCAGTAAGTATCGCAGGCTAGCGATGAAATCGAGAGTTGATTATGGGCTGATAAGTTAATTAATGTATAATTAATAATTTATATAACATTTCAGACCTAAAGAAAGACCTGCAATAGACAGATTTAGCTCTTGCATAATGTATGTTTAAACACACAGCATAACTTAGGCAAGGAAATCGTTAGGCTTACTTTCCATGTACGCGTTTCCGCCGACGAAAAGGTTGGTTATCGCAAATGTAATCGGGCCATTTCCATGTAAAAAAAAGGGGTTGCTTCTATGACTGATGATTTTTTCGCTGCTTTTCAGCGGTGATTTTGCTCGCATGAAGTATATGCATGCGTGCCGAACCGAATGTTTACGTTCTGGGGTACAAACACGGGTTCAATTCAACCAACCCTCTTGTTGCTTCAAAATCAGCTTGCAATCTGCAAATTTTTTGGACATGCTTTTAATAAAAAGGCGGTGATTGAGCAATGTCGGATTCCATGCTGTAAAGAGAAATTCTCATTTATGACGTCATTTACGTGGGATTCGCCAAACATTAAGCGAGGTTTCTGTACAATGGGATATCCCCAAAAAATTAAGAAAATGGTCGCGGAAACTGTACGTTTTTCCATTGGCGGATATATGTAGGCTACATGGAAAGTGGACCTAAAGCTGAAAACCTACGGACGATTGACGGCCCCTTGTGTCAATGCTGCTAATAAAATGTATGAGATTTCTACACTACAGAAGTAATGGAATAATTAAACGATGTATTCATAATGTTTAGTTTAAATAATCGTCATACGGAGTTTCATACGGAGCTTCCGGAGCTTCATACGGAGGTTCATACGGGGTATCATACACAGATTCGTTGCCTGGTGTAACGGTCAGTTTCTCGTATGTATTGTCGATAGAGTCCTGTCTCGGCATTGGAGGCTCTACTGTTGCCGTTGTAACCGTAAGGTCCTTGTATGTGTTTTTGATACAGCCCTGCCTTGACATTGAAAGCTCTGTTGTTCCAGTTTTCTTTATTGAGTCTACTCTTCGTCGAGTTTTTCTGAAATATTAAAACCGTTAATGAAAATCCCGAGTCTACCGATGTAGCCATATTATGATCGAAAAGATTCAATCCCTATGTTTATCAAACATAACGGTTTAACTTTTCTGAAATATAAAAGCAATGAAAAGTGGTATACGAAAATGTAATTCCGTATTTTTGAGTTGACCAGTTAACGCAAGTCATTTGGCCCCAAGTTCACAAAACCCATCTGGCCCCAAGTTCACAAAACATTCTCAGACTCAACTTAAGAATTTACTCAACCTTTAATCACTGTTAATGAGAAATATCTTTGATCCAGAAAGACAAAACAATAGTACATAATTTCTTATTAATGTCAAGAATTATTGATAACAATATTTAGTTTAAAAAATTATTCGAGAAACTGTACATCTTCATTATCCGGGTTGCAGATATCGGACAATTAGGCATTAAACTCCATATGATTTGCTTTTCTCTTCATTACAATTGTCACTACCTTACAGTATTATTTAGTTTTTGCCGTATACCTGTTTTAGTGAGGAATATGTACAGTTTATCGAATAAATAAACTAATTACTGTTATCAATAATTATTGAGATTTTCAATAAAGGGAGATAACTCCTTGTACCTTGTCCATTATGTTTAAATCAAAATTTAACCAATACCAATTTCCCTGCCGAGGACGAAGCCATCGGGTGTTTTCGCCAGCTTTTAATTCATGTCAACTTCAAAATTCTTAGTATAAATATAGCATTTACATGACAATTATCACAATTTTCATCTGTTTGTTTTGCAGGGAGGACCTTGTAGCGGAACTTCATACCGGAAATTTTGACTGCAGCCCGTCAATTCACACTCGGCAATCGTCGGCAGATTCCGTTACTGACGGTAAGTGATATGTACCTACGCCTATACAATTGCGATGCGGCACCGGTTTACTTATTAGGAACACTTGCCGTTTTTAAAAAGAAGTCATTAAAATTGAGTCGTTGGAAGCGCCTGAAGAATTTTCAGTGCAAACTTGAACTTGTATGAAGAAAATCGGATTAACTTCAAAGAAAATCAGATTCAGACTTCAAACTATTTGTTTGATAAAACATTCTTCAAAGGCGTCGTCATGGGCAACGCTGTTGGTAATTGAGGAACTTGAAAGAAGTTCCAATGGCGGACTGGTCATACAGCCGAGGCTAGATGTAGGGTACTGGAATATGCTGAGGTTTGCCGAGTGGTCAATTCAAGTACGATGACGTCTCATTTCTACGATGGCGGCAATGACGTCATGCTCGGTACTATCGTACGTGTTATGTAAAATGAATCACACTGATCCGCAGTGAATATTTGCTAGGCCACTACAATCACTGATAAGGATGACATCGATGCTACTTCATGAGCCAGAAATATTAACTTTTTTCCTGCGACAAATTAAATTCTAAAACATTTTTTTTGTGTATTGGAAAAATAAATAAAGGCGTTTGACGTGTTTGTTGGTAAAAATATTTCCTATTTAGTGTAAATGGGTATAAAAGTGACTAAAAGGCAGCATTCTCTCCGAAGCAGTAACGTCTTATGTAAACAATGCACGCGCCATTCAGCCAATGATTGACGCCGCGTGCTGTGACTGCACGTGTTAAGGCAGTCATCTTTGACAGAGATATTATACTAGACTCGCAATTCTCTGTGAAACAGAATGAAAATGAATATGTAATTGAAAGCGACAGAATCGAACTTACACTAATTTATAGATGACAACAGAGATGATAGCCAGTACCAATATAAAGGTACAACATCCAATCAGAACATAAATTATAGTAGTTGATAATCCTGGTTCATCATCAGTTTTAACACCTGTAATACAAGGACATCATTATTAACAATTATTTTCACACCTGGTTCAACAAATAGTACAAGGAGAGCATTATAAACAATTATTTTCATATCTGGTTCAACACAGCAGCTACGCCGGAAAATCCAGATGAACTTTCTTGGTCAACAAGGCACCTCCGCGGTTTAGTTTAGAGAGCCAACGTGTTTACTCACTGAGGCGCCATGATGCGACGTAAACGGCTATCAAAGTTCTATTTTATGGTTCAATGATGATTTTTTTTACAAAAAAAATACATTTGCAAACTTAAAGGACAATATTGGTGTCAGCCATTATTACATATGTAACAGAACTGGTTAAACACTGTACATAATAAAAACAACGGACGTTTTCTAATCTGTTCGTTTTCTTTTATCTAGTGACTGCCAACGCATATAACAGCTTTTCATCTTCAACGGAATGGAATTTGACCGTGATTTTGTTACTGCTCGTAATTTCAGTCAGTTATATAGAAGGATAACTCGTGTTTGTCATTTCTGTCGTCACTTTCCGTTTCTTCAAGTGTTTGATACACATCTACCGTAGCAATGATCTCTGTGTTAAAATTATATTTGGAATGTGTTTAACCAGTTCTGTCACATACGTAATAATGGCTGACACCAATATTGTCCTTTAATCTTTCAATTAATTTTACTCACCGGGAATTTCATCCTCTTGACTTGCGCCTGTACTTGTAGTTGCACGTGATGAAGGTGTTGCACGTGACGATGGCGTTACTTTAAATAAAATGTTAAATAGGTGATTTTACCTTGAACTTAAACAATTTATAATAAATATTAATGGTTGTTAAATAATTGCATTCCTTATTTGGATTTCATAAAATAAAATAACGATTAAAGCCATTAAAACGTAGATTAGATACTGTCTTGCGCGCCAGCCAATTTTGGTAGAAATGAACGATCATCCATGTGTCAGTTAAAAACGTTTAAAAATAAACCCTTTTGAAAACAATAGATCTAACACTTTCAAGACATTTCACAGGACAGATACATACCGATATTGAATCCAGGAACATCTGTTGTAGTTGTTGCATTATCTGTAGAATATAAAAAGTGCTACATGAAGTATAACTTGGATGAAAATGTAATATTTGTCACATAGACACATGCACATACCCGTATCCGTTTAATAATTTTGATATAGCTGTCAAATGATAAGTTTTTAAACTTGCTAACCAACATCTAAATACACCCGTTAATGAAACAATAATCGTCCAGAAGAAGCTAAATTCTCAAAATGATGACTAATTTCTAATGAACCCTAACAAAATTTATCATAACCCCTGACCTTTATTTCTAACTGTTAGATGACACGGGCAATAACACTAATTGGTGGGTGAAGGTCAATCCAGCACTTGTGAAATCAGAATCTTAAAGAATAAGTCTGCAAGAACTCCTATCTATCGTGCGATATAATCACTGGTTCAAATAGTTAACAACTCAACAGACACACAAAAGTCATTTCGTGACGCAATCTGAGTTGACCAGACTCACTCTTTACATGTGGGGATCCACGGTGGCTCAGTGAGTAAGAAGTTGGCTCGCTAACCTATTGGTCCCGTGCTCGATGCAGGGGTTAGGCGAGAAAGTTTATCGGGGGGATTTTCAGGCGGTGTTCTTCCTTGTCAATGGTGGAGAACGGAGAGCCTGTCCAGGGACAAGGTAAAATGCCACCCATAGCACACTGCATGACTGTCTTCATTAGCCCAGTCGGTACAGCACAGTATTACAGTAAACGCAATTGCATTTCATGTTATTTCTCTCCACATATATATATGTACGAGCAAATGGAGTAAAACATACCAGATGTTGTTAAATCTTCTGGTTGACATCCACCACAGCTTATCTCTAACTGTCCACCAGCAGCTAAACGAAAAAAACAGGTATATTAACACGTACCAACTAGAAACATACAGGTATATTTACACGTACCAACAAGAAACATACACAGATATTTAAACAGGGTGCGCACCGCTGACCAGGCAAAATTCACCCTTTTCACACATACACGTATTAACAAGGTTGCCCAGTAGATACAGGATCCGATTAAAATAGCACGGGAACTGCATCATAATAACAGGACAGAAAGGCATCCTACCTTCAAAATTTGCGTTTGTATCAGTTTCAGTGAAAGAATAAAATAGCAAAGGACTTCAAAATTTGCGTTTGTATCAGTTTTAGTGAAAAATAAAATAACCAAGGACTTTGTGTAAGTGTTACATACCTTTAAAACCTACCCAAACGTTGTCTCCTGAGCTTCCCAAATCACTTCCATTAAACTGTACCCTAATAGGACCCGGGAACCGTCCAATAGAATTATAAAATCTGTACTTATCATTGGTATCTCTTGTACAGGGGAAGGTAACAGACAATCCAGTTCCGGTTATCTTTAATTGTCGACATTTATTCCAGAACTGTAGATTAACTTGATTTGTGGAGATAAAGATCTTAGAATCAGTTGGTGATCCAATGTCACAGGTACACACAAAGCTACCATTGATATTCATACCAGAGTTCTCCTCAAAATCCATCGCAATTTCGTTTTGCACAGTTTTTGTTAAGCTGTCGACAGGACTGAACACTTGGGAAGCTGGAATATAAAAAATCGATTAATTATTGTTTATTAGTTTCCCAAAATTAGAAATTTCATATTTATTGATCGGTAACAAAAAAATTTGAGAAAGCGAATAGTCATGTCGTTTCTAAATAGTCAGCATTATTCGGGGAAACGGGTCAAAGGGTCAAAGTAAGTGTTGGTTCATGCGCAGAAACCCGATGTGTTCTCGGAACGGTTTCGATTTCACCTCACTTTAGGTTGGAACCGTTCTCAGAACGTAACTCCGCTTACGTTGAACCCGTTTACACTGCTCAAAATATTACAGTTCCATTCTCGGCACCGTTCCTGACACGCTTAAATGTGGTAATTTATGTAAATGGAATATACTTACAGTTTACACAAATATAATTAGCAACAAATACTGCTATATAATAGGAACTGGAGCAGTTTTCTAAATCATACAGGTAGCTTTCTAGAAGTTGTGCATTGCAGCTTGTCTTTTTAATACAACGACTCAGACTGTTGCCAAAAATCCTTGTCATTTCGTCGTGGTGACAAACATAATCTTGATTTAATGGAGTCGTACCACAACACATGGCAGAATTATTATCATGCATAAATCCAGCTTCTACTCGGTCAATGGCGATTTTATGGTTCATAGGACAAGAAAGGTATACTTGTTGATTTCCACAAGACAGTGCATCACACCCTTGGCTCTTTCTCAAAATTTGGCAATCACCTTAAATTGAAAATGGACACAACTCAATGGTATCATTTCAGAAGTAAAATCATTATATATCAGTATTTTGGTCACGACTAATTTTATACGAAAATGAAATTAACTGTTGAAAGACTATTAAAGAGAGAGACAGTTAGTAACGGGGTTTAACGTCCGCTCGACACAAACCAGGTCATTACGGGACTAACATATGGTTCAAGTTTATTTCAATAATAAAATTGGGAGGAAACCGGAGGACCCGGAGAAAACCCACGTGGTTGGACAGTCGACTCAATGACAGACCTTATGATATAACGCTCACATGCTAACCATTCGGTCATCCAACCCCGCTACCATTACAGCAAGGGATTAAGACAGACATTATGTCACATTTTAACCAAAATAAATAAAAAAATATATTACCATATGATGATGTCATAACTAAGACAGCAAGTGTCACAAAAAATCTGATTTCTTCCATCTTCCCTCTTCAGCTTCCTCAATTTATATCACATCTATGAACATATTCATAAAGTAAAGAAATGTTCACTTTAAAATATTAAGTATTCACCCAATATGAGAATATGTATACAGGTCTATCTGTTTAGGATAGAGTACGAGGCTGGGGTTATGCTGTGAAAAGAAAGACTGAAGTAACCCCCCCCCCCCCCGGTAGGCCGAGGTTTTTCTGTTGAGGTTTTTTTTTCTGAAGTCATTCTTCACCAGCATAACCGAGTTCGAGGACTTTATCTCGCTTATGAACCGTCTATGTTTACATGTACGCAAAATGAGAATATCCCAGAATTTCCGTAAGAAAAACCTTATATCATGTTTTCTTATGGGAAATAACCCACCCTGGATGAATAACCCGTTACAGGTTTAAAGAAAAACTTTCAGAAGAATAACCCCAAATTCCCCTGTATATATCCAAAGCCGCCCCCGACTTTCAGTCCGCAAGTTATTCCGCGCATAGAATATACCCGAAAGATCAAAGAGAATTACCGTAGGTTTATAAAACCAATGAAAATTTACACAGATTTGGCTATTTTGAACTGAACATATTGACACCATCTGTGGCAACATTTAATGCGTTTAATGTGGAGAGATGTGGAGGGGGTGGAGACTGGGGAGATGGTGGGGGGGGGGGGCAAGGACAATCATGAAATAACTGCGATTTTATGGCGATTTTATGGTTCACAGGACCAGATAGGGATACTTGTTTATTTCCACAAGACAGTGCATCACACCCTTGGCTCATCGACAATCATGAAATAAGAAAGAAACAGTAATTTTTAAAAACGTGGGTGAGGGTTGCAAAGAAGGTAGATATGTAAGTTGTGCCAGTGAAAGACATCAAAATAAAATTGATTCAAATTCCCAATATCATCTGTATTTTGGTGATAGTGTGTGCGTCTTGTCCATGGGTTTGATTTATTTGTGTGCGGTACGGTCTTCCGGTACTTACTAGTAATATATCATATCAGCCATTTAATAGAGAGAAAGAGAGAGAAATGCGGTTTAACGTCACTCGACACAAACTAGGTCATTTCAGGACTAACATATGGTTTAATTTTATTTACATAATTCGCTTGCTCGTAGGGATCTTTAGCAGTGGGGGGAAACCGGAGAATACCAACGAGGTTGGACAGGCGACCACACCACCTGACTCAATCCCAGACCTTATAATTTCACAAGAATGCGTTAAGTCACTAGACCCCCCTCGCCACCTCCCCCCCCCCCCCTTCACTGAAAAGGGGGCATATATTGGTCTTTTTCCATCACATTCATACAAATACAATTTGTAGATAGATAGATTTATTTGACACAGCCATATACATCACAGTAAATGACATATTAATTACTTATGGTACTAACTTATTGTGCAGCCGACCACCCCACCCCCTCCGTCCACACACCTGACATGACCTACTGATGAGCTAACGAATATTAACACTACTAGTAATAAACATATAAAAACTAAAACAATAACTTACCTTTATATATTTTAATCTAGGTAAATATCGCCATAACATTCCAGGTAGACTTTCAAATATACACTTGTTCTTATACTGTATGTAAAGTTGTTTACCTGTTGTAATGATATTCGCTTGAGTAAAACAGTTCCATTCAAAATCGACTAAATTAAACGTCAAGGGACTGGTCATTGTGGATTCAAAACAGAAATGGGTGGAGTCTATTGATAGTTGAATACATAAAATCAGTGAAGTCATCCAATCCTACTGGGTGGGCGGAGTTTTAAGACGTCAACCAATCAATTATGTTCGATGCTCAACCAATAAAGTGATCTAAGATAATAAAAAATGAAAAAATTTTTGAGGCTAACATATGGTTCAATTCTATTCCAGTGTATGTAGGGGTCTTCAGCAGTAGGAGAAAACGAGAGGATACAGAGAAAACCCACGAGGCTGGTCAGCCAACTGTACTCCCAGTCACGTACAAGCGGGGAATCAAAACACGATATAAAAGACCCTATGATCTAAAGCGCACACGTTAGACAATTCGCCCCCCCCCCCCCCCGTCTCACCCACACATACACCAATTCATATGAAGTAATAAACAAATACGTTTATTCCCGTACTCACACTACTTTGACATTAATGTAGACCTTAGCCCTCACCAACTGTCCATTATGCAGACTGTTCATAAATATAAATAAATGTTATTCATTTGACAGAGTGATGGTATAATGAAACGACTGTACAATAGCATATTATTTAAATGTATTATGCATGTTTCATTATGTCATAAATAACATTTGAATGAATTATACTTTCGTTTATAAAATTATATTATTCCCGTATATCGGAGAGAACAGGGTTGTTTTAAATAGGTCTATCTGCCTGTCATGCCGTACGTCACACTATTTGGAAATTTTAAAAAAGAAATCCGCTAAATTCAAAACTTCTTGTAGATTAAACAAACCAATAGTAGTGTCCACCATAGCAAACTTCCCAAAACTGGAAGGCACTTATTACAAGATCGCATTTATTGTCTTTTTACAAAGCATCTAGAGAGAGAGAAATGGGGTTTAACGTCCACTCGACACAAACTAGATCATTTCGGGACTAACACATGGTTCAATTTTTATTCCAATAATTCGCTTGCGTGTAGTGGTCTTTAGCAGTGGGAGGAAACCGGAGGACCCGGAGAAAACCCATGAGGTTGAACAGGCGACCTCCTTGTCACGTACAACCTGGGAATCGAAACCACGCCAGTTGACTCAATGACAGACTTTATGTGTTTATTTACAAAGGGATTGAGACAAAAGTACAATTTTGAAGAAGGAAAAATTGAAAATTCAACTAAATAAAAGAGAAATAAAAGAAAAACAAAATAAATATAAAAAAAATAAATAGATGAAAATCCAATTTATGTAAAATCCTTAAGTTAAATATTCGCCATAGGAAAGCGAAATCAGTTTTGCAATTAACGAATCCATTAAAGGATTTGTTTAGAAATTCGGTATGAGGATCCCATCTGTACAGATAAAACAAAATCAAAATAGGAAAATCTCACAAGATAAAAAATTAACAACCTATAAACAAAGTTTTTACAATTGTGCAAAAATGAAAAGAAACAAAAACTACACTACGCACACTTTAGCTACTACAACATAGCTAAACACGTTGAGATGTATTTGTTTGTTTGTTTTTAACTACAATTGGATGCCATTACTGGTTAAACATACCGGGTCCAATTGGCAGGTAAGTTAATTAAGCGATGTTTTTAATTGATTTGGAACGTTTATTTAACGACTATACGTCATTTAACCATTTTTACACTGCTATGGGATACTTTGCAATGCATTATTCTATTGTTGTCTAGTTAGCGTTTTTAATTAAATCCTGAAATATCTTCATTAAAGATACATGACCACCTTCATATGTAAATCCCGAATAACGAGGTGAAAAATGAATTACTAACAGCTCGTTATTCGCTGCTTGAATAACAATGTGGACTGTTTTTCGTCTAGAATTCGTTGTGCTGTGTTTTATGCTACTGGGGGATACTTGGCATCTATCATTCTAGTGATGGCTCGCATCATACTTGAATCCCGAATAACACGTTGAATAACGAGGTGGCACGAGGTGGCGGTCCACTTCGTTATTGGTGAATAATGAATAACGTCGAACAAATCAACTTCACACTGCCACAGTTTCTTTGCTACTTTAGTTTATATATTTTCAATAACTTCAATGTATTTCAGCATGTTTTGGTTAAACGCCACGATTTCTGGTAAATAATTATTTCGCCATTTGAAAAGAAACGCAACGTCATATGTTGATGTTTACCTCATTTTCTTTCATAGTTTTATGATTGGCACGTGTACTAGGGAAGTTATTGGTTTCGTAGAATAAAGATAATGCCTTTTGTTCAAGTCAGCCCATTACCCCCTACCGCTCCACACACAGACACACAAATATTATTCAATTGTTAAAAAGTTATTGTGTTATTTAGATCTGTACTAAAATAGTAGACCATTAAAATATATCTGTTGTCGGTAATATGACACTGGTGAACTTCCTGGTCAATAACAGAATAAATATTATTCATTTTCTATATTTCTATAGATCTTTTTATAACGCTGATTTTATTTCTCTTGTCGTGTTAATTTCTGACATGTCCTCGATATTCAAATCGTAAAGTCTATTGACATGTGTTTACTACTTAAAATATCCTAACACGTAAGCCTAAGACTCTCCCACCCACTGATAGTCACATAATACAAGTTGATGTTTTGCTTCTGTCTGGCATAATCACGTTACTATTCTTTCTTACATTAGACCCTTCTTCCCACTACAATTAAAGCCAGAGGCAGGAAATCCTCTCTATCGTTCCAGATAAATCGCAATAATCATAATATGTCAATCGCACCATTAAATCCCTTCTGATTATTTGAAATGAAATGAAATACGGTTTAAGGTCCTACTTTTCTGCCTTGATTAGGGCTGATGAAGACGAGCATTTCCCTCAGTGTAGTATGAGGGAAATTTAGCCCAGACAGCGGCGCTACGGCCCACTCTTATATTGAAGTCCAACTGCCAACACATCTTTTTCGTCGATCCATCCTGCACCACTGACAAGGGGAACCCACGCCGGAAAATTCAGATGAACCTCCGATCTCCAGTCTTACTCATTTAGCCACCGTGGCCCCCTATGATAAATAACCGTTTGATTTCCTGTAGACCATTAACAACAGATATCCAAGTGATAACTAAATGTAGAGAGAGAGAAATAAACACAAACAATTTCAATAACACATCCGAGAATGTCGAAAACATATTGTATGTGCCGTATCTTTGATTCTACTAGTCCTGATGAATGGTTCAATGTAGGCTAACTATTTAGACAATTTAAGAGTAACCAGCGAGATGGAAGTCGGACGCTACGATGGCAGCAAGAAAACTGGAGGATTTTATGACTATTCTGAAATTTGGTAAAATAAAAAGTTAGCCTTAGCTATAGGGCGCAATTCATTTCAAAATGGAGAAATCCAGCTTAGTAGAAGTAGGAAACTCTATGAAGAACGCGTTGAGGCTAGGCATCGCTATTGACATTGATCAACTTCTGAGAGTTGTATTTGGTAATGTAAAGTTAACTTTTTAACTAATAGAGACCATGTATACGTGTGAATTAATCTGTTGTATATGGCTATAATTTAGGAATAATGAGTGGAAAATAATCTCGGAATAGATTAAGATATTTAATGGACCATTTCATATTCCATGAAAAATATACATGCAGGACCGGATTTACCATTAAGCAAAATAAGCACGTGTTTAAGACATCAAGGGAAGAGAAAACACTACAGAAATTTGCCACTGTGGGATGTACCATACGTCGCAACATTACAAATGACTTGATTCACAAAATCCCAACAGAAGCCTTATCCCACCTAATAGATATGCTGCATAAAATCAGTTTGGGGGATCTAATCAAAGACTTTGCCATTTAAAACAGCTGGAGAATTTTCTGAAATATTAAAAAAAAAAACAACATTATTTTTCATCTTAAATTTGGTTAAATTTCGAATAATAAACTTTTATTGTGTGGTTTAATATTGCTTGCATTTGGTATTACATAAATTGCGCCCTACAGCTAAGGCTAACTTTTTATTTTACCAAATTTCAGAATAGTCATAAAATCCTCCAGTTTTCTTGCTGCCATCGTAGCGTCCGACTTCCATCTCGCTGGTTACTCTGAAATTGCTTGTTGCCTCTAAATATCTTTAGTGTGGTGCCCAGACACGCACTCATTGAATCAGACAGCAGTTCTTTCTTCAAGTTGAAGGGTAAGCGATCCTTTTGCACGTTGATTCACGGAGTGTCATTCTTTCTGGAGCAATTTGCAACTATTGTCGGCACTCCATTCCAAACATCGCCAATGTTGAAAGAAGTGGCAACAAACTTTGTAGGCTGTGGTCAAATGAATCAAACGAGGACTGTGGTGTTGACCTCGTCCAATTGAGGTTGTTCTCACAGACGACTAGGGACGGTAAGAGAATTCCTCCCACTGGCTGATGCTTTGGAGTGTCTTCTAAGTGGGCATCTGGGCAACAACCCAACTTACCATGGGTGGAAGGAAGAGGACGGCAAACTGCTTCCCATTTGGACCACGCTGCCCCTCTCCAAGAATCTGTTCCATCTGGGTATGAAGTGCACTTGCCCAGTTACCTGCTCTCGGTGCAAATGCGTGACGACAAAGTTGAAGAGCACACGCCAGTGCAAGTGCATATGCGCGAAGTAGCTGGACTAGAACAATTACCAATACTAACATGTATATAGCGGCCTTGGTTAATTTGTTAACCATTTTCTTATTGAATGTATTGTTCAATGAGTTTTTTCAAGCAATTGTTTAAGACAAGATATGCTCCAATCATGTTTATTTCATTTTATTCAATTACTGATGCATGCAAACCTAGGCCAAAATCACCATTTTAGGTTCAATATTACAAAAGTTATACGAAAAAAAACTCTGGAAATTGGCAGCCATCTTGGATTTTGACGGCCATTTTAATTTTTTTTTTATCTGACTGCTTGACACTCGAACCAGAATTCTCCCATAGACCTTTACTTTCAAAATGGTACTGAAAACAAAACTTTTGCATCAATATGAACTGAAAAAAACAAAATTACCCATGCACGGATCCCCACTACTTAAATCTGCCCTGTATATATATATTCCGATTAACACTGGGGGGGGGGGGGGGAGAAAAATCCCCCCCCCCCCAATTTTATTTGATTATACTCCAATAACGTAAAATTGGTGACATGACTGATAGGCTATAAATAAATTGGGCAATACCAATACAAAAGCCAGCAAGACCTTTTCTAAAAGCTAATATGTGAATGCTGTTTATTTAGACGTGACGCGTGTAAAGGCAGTCGATTACGGTGGTAGGGCGCTCAACAATGAATGGTATCCTCCTTATAACTCTTACGGGTGAGTTTTGTTAATTTATATGCAATGAAATGGGGTTTAACGTCCCACTGTTCGGCATTGACTGGGCTAATGAAGACAAGCAAGCTGTGAGGGAAATTTTGTCCACAGCAGTGCTACTGTCTACTCTTATATCAAATTTCAACTGTCGATGGTGCTCCTCCATGTACGCCAATGTGTATGTGGGGCGTCCTTTTCGTCCCATCCGAACGACTATACAGGTGTGATTGTCTTTGTAAGACCCTTCGTTCTGCACCACTGACAAGGAAGAACCTCGCAGGGAAATCCCGGTGAACATTTTAGGGAAACACCGGGAGCGCACCCGAGACCTCCAGAGTAGCGAGCCAGAGTCTCACTCACTGAGTCGCTTCGGCTTCATCTCAATTTGTAGTCCCTAGTTAGCTCATCAGGCAGATTATCCACTATGTTATCTGTCAATGTGTTTCATCTTTTACTTCTACCTACAGAATCAATTGTTTATGGTGGCTGATTGGTATCATGTCCTGATGTCATGGTGTCGCCCATCATAAGGCACCTCGATACGACCGAAAGTACTAGTTTGTCATGGTAACGTCATTTGTCATTTTATATTAAATTTGAATTTGTTTGCCTTCATGATATATATGATGTATAAAATATAGACATCTATTTTTTCTTAGTTGTAGGATTGTTTTCAACAGTTAATGCAAACTGTGACCCCTCGAAATGTGTTTCGTTCTTAGAGGCTATTGACAAATCCGATCCTAAGCAGATTTGTCCGTAAGTATGTTTTTTTTAATTCAATCACCAGGATAAAAACAGATCGGATAAATATATTTTTGAAATCTCTTCTTATATATTTATAATAATGTGACCCACACATCCCCCCGCTGGCACAGGGAATATTTTTTCTCTCCTACATTCATGGAAATAACGCCGTTTTGGCCCCACTGTAATCCTATGTTTGCACCTAAATGAGAAGAAATATTCTCTCAAGCTTCTGATTTGATCCAATTCGCCCCCGCCCCCGCCCCCGCCCGAATGCCAAACCTTGGATTCCCCGCTGTTCAAATTCCTGGACACGCCACTGTAGAATGATAAACCCAGGTTTTTGTTTCATTTAAAAATAATCCAAAGAATGACGAAAAACTAAAAGTATTTGACTTTGAATTTGAATATTTGTTAGAACTACACAAACTTACATAAAATAAGCCTTATATACATTTTACAGTGCTTTGAAGACCGTTTCATTCTGCTTAAAGGATTTGTTCGCAACTTGTCCGACTCTTGAATCAGACAGTCGAACCATCTTAGAGGGAGCCTTGGTTGACATTAATGAAAAAATTAACAATGCATGCGGTAAGTCAATAATCTACAGTTTGTAAATAGTCTGAGAAATATATTGGAGTAAATTAGTGATAGATGTTGGTTCATCTGACGAAAACAGGTGGTTAGATGGTCTAGTGCAGTGATTCTCAACCTTTTTTGCACACTTAGGAGGATCTCACGACACACTGGTTGGGAATCGCTGGTCTTGTAGTTTAACGCTTGGGAATGGTTCGATTTTATTTCAATAATTCGCTTGTAACTAGGGGTCTTTAGCAGTGGGGAGAAACTGGATGACCTGAGGAAAACCCACCAGATTGGACAGGCGACTCTACTCCTTGTCAGCACGCAACTTGACTCAATGACAACAGACCTTGTGATTTCATGACGCGCACACGTTAAAAAAGTTTGCCCCCCCCCCCCGCTGCTTTCGACTATTAAAACACTGGATAAAAAAGCCAACGTTGTTTTCAATATTTATACTTGAAAGAGCACTGTTAATATCTCGTCTTCTTTTAATTTCAGTTGAAGTATTTCCAACGACAGTTGAAATAAATACCATGGCTGTCACTACTGCTAGACCTGCATCAAATGAAGTCCAGTCTGACGACGCGGTTGGAATTGTAGGTGGGGTACTTGGTACCCTGCTTGGCATCGCCTTAATAGTCATTGTAGTTTCAAAGTTCAAACGCACGAAATCTGATAATGGCACCAAATCTTCAAAGATACAACCGGACGTCAGTCACCCTGATCGCAACCCCAAGCCAGTGTTTGTCCATTCTTAATACACCATACGTAATGTTTTCAAATGGCATTTTAATTCAAAAGTTTTGTCTACTAGAGAATAGAACTGTATTGTGTTTTCAATAAACCTCGATATATTTACTTCTGTAGTTTTTACTGGGTACAAAACCACTTTTAGGGAGCAATAATATGTAATTTTATAAACTGCCCTGCTTCGCCGAACAAATCAATTCCATACGAACTGGGCAGTGTGATCCATTGTCGGTTCACTTTTTACGGTTTTTTAAAAATTTTAATATAATTTAGTAATAGTGCTAGTTCAGATTATGTTTCAGTTAAAACGTGGAGAGACAGGAACACCTAAACGCAACTTATATATTAACCCAAAACTGCATCATGCATTTAAACAAAGATGATTTTTAATGTTGCTTGGCTCGAATGAACTGGTACGTTTTATTAGTCTACTGGAGAAGAAAAGTAAAACCCTACTTTAGTTCATTGTAATCAGATAGTGTTTAAACAGAGGTACCAAAAAGTGGCCAATTCTTTTCTTAAAATATTTCGGTATAGGTTTTTATGAGAGATACTGGACCAGTAGTACATATACTGAATAAGCTATGAGATTCTTGGCTGGGGTTACAGTCGGCGCTAGCTCAAATATTCTTAGAAATTATTTTAAAATTAGTTTTACAAATTATGTGCATATATTGCTTAATAAACATAGCTGTAAGAATTTTTAAATATTGCCTGAAATACGACAATATGATTAAAATACAGATTTATATTTCGTTTCGTTTTTTTTTTATATTTTCAATGGTCTCTACTACATGAAGATCTGACCAGTTGTAATGGGAGGTCGCATCAGAGGTCACACGAGCGGCTTTAGATTTGATTAACCAATCAGCGCTGGTTACCCACAGTTCCGTGCAACTCACGCCAAACTTTCGCCGTTACAGTCGTTTCATTGGCTAATCCCTCACATCAATCAGAACGCATGTTATATAACAACTCTTCCAGATCCTAGTGTAGTAAAGACAAGTAAAACAAAATTTTTAACTATTAAAACGGAACGAAATAGGATCTGTGTTTTAATCAGACTGAATATTAATGCATAAAGTTGTGTGTTTTATAATGTTATACCTCTATGGCCTTCAACGATATAATAAAATAATTATATAATTATAAACTTTGTTGGATCATGAATATGGGATACATATAGCGTGAATGCACCACTGTTTATCACCATTGGGGTCCAAATATAAATTGCTGCCTCCACCAGGGAAGGCACATTTTCTGCAAATGTGTTCATGGTAAATTAAATTTACTGGCCGCGGAGATGTAAACAAATGAAATGAAATGAAATGGGGTTTAACGTCCTACTGTTTTGCTCCGAACTGGGCTAATGAAGACGGGCATACGCCATACAGTGTGCTATGAGGGAAATTTTGCCCGGACAGCGGCACTACGGCCTACCCTTATATCGAATTCCAACTGTCAGGGGATCTTTTACGTGCACGCCAATGTGTACACGGGACCTCGGTTTTTCGTCCCATCCGAACGACTAGACAGCTGTCCTTGTCAGCCCCTCCGTCCTGCATCACTGACAAGGGAGACCCGCGCCGGAAAATCTGGATGAACTTTCTCGGCCAATGCAGGGATCGAACACCCGACCTCCAGGCTAGCGAGCCAGTGCCTTACCCACTTAGCCACCGTGATCCCCTGGAGATGTAAACAGGGCTAGCACTAACCCTAACCCTAACCATGGACCAAGCCCCAATGCTTACTTTATTCCTAACCTAAAATCTCGCCAACAATCACATACCCTAAGGCCTTATTCAAAAATGGAGCTGGCTTTAACCCCCTAATGCTATAGAATCCCATTTGGCTTTACCCTTGTCATATACATACCTTAAATACTCAAAAGTATTAAAGTAGCTAAGTCTCTAACTCAATATCATACAAAGTCTTACGCGGTGAAAACACGAATTATTTGTCAATTTAAATCAACATTGATGTTTTAATCTTACCGGGACAGGGTAGGCTTCTGATATCAAATATTTAAGACACAACAAACATTTTACCATTTCGTGTATACCATAGTGCGTTTCAGCGTCATTTGTTAGAAGTGACCAGAAGGAACGAGGCTAGACATATTCCACAACTCATGTCAAACGGTGACGCCATATCTTATCTGGAGAGCATGCACAATAATCTGGAATAACCAGATGGTAGACATTTGCATTCGGTTGAGATTCATGGCGTATTTCGCTGGAGATAAATGATTTGAAATTAAGAGTCAAAACGGAAACAACTGAATGTAAATCAGTTTATATACAATCAGATTACATTATTATATGCGTTGTGACGCATTTGGGTCAATTTCTAGGTCCCAAATATTAGCGATTTAGCTCCTTTAAGGTTAGTCAGATATGAGGGGAAATCACGGTGGCTAAGTGGCTAAGACGCTGGCTCGCTAGCCTGGAGGTCGGGTGTTCGATCCCTGCATTGGCCGAGAAAGTTCATCCAGATTTTCCGGCGTGGTTCTCCCTTGTCAGTGATGCAGGACGGAGGGGCTGACAAGGAAAGCTGTCTAGTCGTTCGGATGGGACGAAAAACCGAGGTCCAGTGTACACATTGGCGTGCACGTAAAATATCCCTTGACAGATGGAATTCGATATAAGAGTAGGCCGTAGTGCCGCTGTCCGGGCAAAATTTCCCTCATAGCACACTGTATGGCATATGCCCGTCTTCATTAGCCCAGTTCGGAGCAAAACAGTAGGACGTTAAACCCTATTTCATTTCATTTTCATTTCATTTCAGTCAGATATGAGAGACCTTGTCGAATTCTGAGACGACAATTTTAGTATATATGGACAAAAATTCCCCTTGTCAGTGGTGCAGGATGGAGGGCCTGACAAGGACAGCTGTCTAGTCGTTCGGATGGTTCAAGATACCGAGGTCCAGTGTATACATTGGCGTGCATGTAAAAGATCTCTTGGCAGTTAGAATTCGATATAAGAGTAGGCCATACTGCCGCTGCCTGCGCTAAATTTCCCCACAGCAGAACATTTCACTTTTTTAATATGCCAACTTGTATCAGGGGCTATGTGAGAGGGGCGCAATGACAAGCTTTGCGTCATGGTTTCTACTTTTTGCGCCCCCTTGAGTTTTTGCGCCCCTCGCAAATGGTGAAAAATCACGAAGCTTCAATGCGATTTGAAACATCATATTCATAATACCCAACCAGTGTCAAACATATAACGCGGGTCAGATATGTTACAAATCAACTCTAGCATGTTCCACATAGCTCAATATTACCCGGTGGGCCTGGGAGGGACGCCCCCCCCCCCCCGCACACACACCCCTTCCCCCGTACTCACAAACAAATATTGTTGTTTGTTTTGGATCCGGGCGGGATCTTGTTCCACATGCAACAGCATGGGTCACCCTGCCCCTGACTTGCATTAGGAAGTTCACACGCTGTTTACGGGATTTCGATTGGCTATAGATAGTACATTGAAAATATATAAACCACAAAGAAATCAAAGATTTTTTCGTTATTTATTTATAACCCACAAAGAGATCAAAGTTGTTTTTGTTATTTATTTATCTAAACAAATAATTATTCTTTGAATACTGAACACTTGTGTCGGTTTTATGATCACAACGTACCTCACGTGCGGTGTACAGTGTGTGGAATATTCTCGACCGCAACCTTGACATACAATTAACAAGCGAGGAGAGCAGATTAGGTTGGATACCAGCGCGCACGGACTTTGTTGTGTCACAACTTACGGCTATTTGTCTGTCCTATTGTTCCTAGAGAGAGAGAGAAATGGGGTTTAACGTCCACTCGACACAAACTAGGTCATTTCGGGACTAACATATGGTTTATTTTATTTCAATAATTCGCTTGCGCGTAGGGGTCTTTAGCAGTGGGAGGAAATCGGAGGACCCGGAGAAAACCCATGAGGTTGGACAGGCGACTCTACTCCTTGTCACGTACAAACGGGGAATCGAAACCAATTACAGACTTAATGATAAAGCGCGCGCACGCTAACCATTCAGCCATCCACCCCCCACCCCCCCATTGTTCCTAAAAGGCCGCCTTACTTGAAAAGAATCGTATTAGGGTCATGATCCGATGATAAGTACCCAATATGCAGTGTAGGGTTAGCAGGCTGAAGCCCAGGGCGTCAACATCTAGGGGTATAAAATTTTTGACACTGTCATAAGCCCTTTTTTCAATCTACGATATCACCTTTGGTGGAAGTGGACACTACTCAAGATTTTGTAAAAGAGTGTACCATTATACCAAACACACTCAGTGATCATCAAGCAATTGCTATTAACATCTGTACTGTTGATTCAAAAAGAGATCCTGGACTGTGGATTTTTAATAACAATCTTATATCAGATACAAAATTATTACAAATTATTAAAGACCGCTATCAGTATATGGAAGGATGAATACCATTATAAGGAAGATAAAGGGGGACTTTGGGATTACTTTAAATGTAAAATTAAAAATGAAACCAGTAAATACTGTAAAAAGAAACAAAGAATTAAAAGTAAGTTAAAAGAAAAACTTATACAAGAAATGCAGGGTCTAGAAAATAAAATCACATCCTTAAACACTCATGATGTCGAAACATACGTTAAACACAAACTTGATCAAATTTATGATATAGAAATCCGAGGGGCCATCTTAAGATCTAAAGTGGAGTGGTACGAAAAGGGGGGATACGAATACAAAAATATTCCTAAGTTTAGAGAAACAAAATAAAATATCAACATCATTAAAGAGAATTCAAATAGATAATAATGAAATTACTTGCCCAAAGGAAATATCAAAGGAAATTTATACTATTATTCACATCTTTATTTAGATACTACTCATAACAAATCAAGCCTCGATGATAAAATATTTCCGAGAAAACAGTACTTCCAAAAATTAAATGAAAATCAAAGCCAGATTCTGGAACATAAAATTGACAACAGTGAATGTTTGGAAGCATTAAAACCATTTAAAAAATAATAAAACCCCAGGCAATGATGGATTGAATATAGAATATTACGGTGAATACTGGCCTTTTATTAATAAACTAGCAGGATACCCGGCTTCGCTCGGGGGTCATAACTCCGGAAGTGGTAGACAAACGCCACCGGGTCTATGTTACTCCCCGGTCCGAGCTACCCCTATACCCCAAATTTCAGACTCGGGGCAGACCTAGTGTAGCCGCCAACCCCGAACAGACCGGCTTCGCCCGGGGGTCATAACTCCGAAACCGGAAGTGATAGACTAACGTCACCTGGCCTATGTTAATACCCGGTCCGAGCTACCCCTATACCCCAAATTTCAGACTCGGGGCAGACCTAGTGTAGCCGCCAACCCCGAACAGACTTCGCTCGGGGGTCATAACTCCGAAACCGGAAGTGGTAGACTAACGCCACCTGGCCTATGTTACTCCCCGGTCCGAGCTAACCCTATACCCCAAATTTCAGACTCGGGGCAGACCTAGTGTAACCGCCAACCCCGAACAGACAGACAGACAGACAAACGACAGTCACAAATATATATATAGATTAGTATTAAATTCTTTTAACTAGTTTTGAACATAAGCGATTATCAGAGTCACTAAGACAATTGAATATTAAACTTATCCCAAAATCCGGCAAATATAAATCACTTCTATCTAACTCGAGCTCCATCACACTTATAACTGCAGATGTAAAATTAGCTAGTAAAATTTTATCATTACGATAAAAGCCCTTTCTTCTACTGTGTCCTGTTAGTGCTATACGTTGATTTGTACCATTTTCTTGTAATTTACCTCATTTGAGAAAACACAATGAAATCTATCATAAATTAAAAAACATGAAAAACCTTTTCTCCGCAGTGTAAACTTTTTCTTCTCGGTGTAAATCTTTTTTTCGCGGTATAACGTTTTTTCCGCGGAGAAAACGTTTACACCGTGGAGATGACTTTATTCCGCGGAGAATAGGTTTACACCGCGGGGAAAAAGTTTACACCGCAGAGAAAAATTTTGGAGAAAAGGTTTTTCATGATTTTTTGATTGATCATAGATTTCATTGGGATTTCTCAAATGAGGTAAATTACAAAAAAAGGGTATAAATCAACGTATGGCACTAACAGGACACAGTACGTAGGCTATAAATATCTGTTTTCTGTTTTAGACGCTTTTCGATTTAAACGCAGGATATACATGTTTGCTGTCATTTATCTTTTCTGTTCATATTGGACACCTACATTGTTAAACAGTTTTGTCTTGAGCTAACACGATGTATTTGAGATGAAAAAGAGTTTAAAGTTCTACTGTTCTCCTCCGACTGGGCTAATGAAGACAGACATACGACATACAGTCTGCTGTGGGGGAAATTGTGCCCGAAGAGTGGCGCTATGGCATACTCTTATAACAAATCCCAATTCGCAATGTACACACGGGACCTCAGGTCTTCGCACCATCCGAACGACTATACGTTGCCTGTCCAACCTCGTGGGTTTTTTCCGGGTCCTCCGGTTTCCTCCGACAATTACAGACACCTTTTATTGAAATAAAATTAAATCAGATGTTAGTCACGAAATGACCTAGTTTGTGTCGATTGGACGTTAATCCCCCCCCCCCCCGCGCTCTCTCTCTCGACCAACAAAGTGATCGAATACGGGACGTCCCAGCTTAGCGAACCAACGCTAAGTTCAACAACGTAATAACGATGAATCATTATAAGAAACCAGACGACCTTGGATTACCTTTTCTCCAAGTTAGCATACAGTTGTACCAGGAAGTTTCCATCTCGGACCTGATTGGTAAAATATGATTATGTTATTTTAGTACCCGGGATTACGACAACCAAACGAGGAAGTTTACAGGTTGTTTATCTTCTTTCTATTCGCTCAATGTCGAACATTCTAAGAAATTAGACAACAATTAAAAAGTTATACTTTACAAACATAAATGTGTTTAGTCATATTAAAGAAAGTGAAAATAAACTAACTACACCATAGCTATGACTAATGTTCGCTTTTCAAGCTAAAACCAGCAACAACGTATTCTGTTATTGACCAGGAAGTTCAGATATATTTAATGGTCTCCTATTTTAGTACAGATTCAAATAACACAATAAGATCTCAACAATTGAATAATATTTTTGTGTCTGTGTGTGACGCGGTAGGGGGTAAGGGCTTGACTTGAACAAAAGGCATTAGATTTATTCTACGAAACCAATAACTTCCCCCCGTACACGTGAAAGTCATAAGACTGTGAAAGAAAATGGATAAAAAAAAAAACACCAACATATAAATAAAATATTGATCATACAGGACTTTCAAATTTAAATTCCCAAAATAGAAAATGACTAGTAAAGGACAATTATGAAAGGGACAATTGCCAAAAAAACTGACGTATCTGTAAGAACTTAGTTTATGTTGAAATACGTCACGCGATGGGTGGCTTGTAAAAAGGTGGAGCTAAACGCTTGCCGCGTAATATAATATCTAAATAAAGACCGAACACAGATGTGGTTTTTAACATACCCGGCGTAAAAAGGTGGGGAGTCGAAGGAGGGGAGGGGGATCCAACCATCTTCATCCACCAGGCATAATCTCGAAAACTCCGGCTGTCGGAAAGATTTATCTCGGGAACCAAGAGACTCTTAATGTTAAACTGCCCCTTATTGTCATTTGTCAAACTGGCATGTCGCCTTAGGATTTCTCGAGTAGAATTGTTGATATATTAATTCTAACCAGTTCGGTCTCAAATTACAAATTAAACTTTCTTATATCTCTGTATGAGATGACTAACCTTTATAAGTTCAAGTATGCCTTCTACATGTGACGTCACATCACACATCGTCGATCATTGGCTCTATGGCGCGTGCATTGTTTACTTTAGACGTTGCAGTGTCAACTGGACCGAGCAGAATGGTACCTTTTATTCATTATATATACGAATTTACACGAAATAGGGAATATTTTTTATCCGGATATACTTCAAACACCTTCATCTATTTTTCTAATAAAAAAAATGTTCTTTTTAGATTTTATTTTGTAGAAGGGAAAAATTAATATCGCTAGCTAATTAACCCGCACCGATAGCTAGGCTCTACAGTAGATTGTTTGGTTATGAAATCTGTCCACGTTCTAGCTTTGTTCAAGATGTAATCTGTACAAACGTTTCTCGCTATTTGAATAGAATCAGATATTACAAAAGATTCAAATCTTGAAAGAACACCCCACCCATTCCAACCCAGACATTCTATCGGATAGTTTCGACTACACGATTCCAAGCAGGGATGGGGCTCTGGCCTTGTCACTGGACAACCGTGCCCACCTCCCCCACCCAATCAGGTTCCATTTGGGTGTTTCTTCGTCCGAAATAGTCGGATATGGCATCTACGTTTCATTTCATAATATTTACTGGTAGGGTATCACTATAACACTTCAATATGGAGATCTGTCAACCAGCCCCACCCCACCCTACCCCACCCCAACCTTGGCCCCGTAAAGAAAATCCTGGACCCGGATACAACCCTGAACGCGTAAGTATATTTATGAACACGATGTATGACAGCACTGTCAATCACTACAGCAGGGGGTGGAGATTACCTAACTGCTTCTTTACGGTTGGTTAACTCATTTGTCAATCAAATATTTAAAATATAATTTGGAGACTAATACTGCTAGTTACAAATGGTCAGTGTCACACCGCAGATTTGATGACGTATAAATTGCACGACTTGGCGAAACTAAAAATTGTGAATCTGAATTAGAAATTGGGGTAAGTCTTGTTTATTACTTTTCGTACTTCTGTGGAGAATAATTAAGATTAGTCGATTTAAACAAAGTAAACAAAGCTTGAATATAAATATGGAGAGAGAGAGAGAGAGAGAGAGAGAGAAATGGGGTTTAACGTCCACTCGACACAAACTAGGTCCGGTCAAATTGTAATAATACATAGTAAACAACAACAGCCGTAGTACAAACCATCAACCTCCGATTAGGATCTTTATTGGCGCGAACTTAGGTGTCGGTTTCCGAGGGGGGTTTCGATTCCCCGGTTGTGCGTGACAACGAGTAGGGTCTTGAGCAGTGAGAAGAAATCGGATGACCCTGAGAAATCCCACGAGGTTGGACAGGTGACCCTACTCCTTGCCATGTACAACCGGGGCATCGAAACCGCGTCAGTTGACTCAATGACAGACCTTATGATACAGCGCGCATGTGCTAACCATTCGACCATCCAACCCCCGGCCGTAGTAGAAACCAGAAACCTCGGTTTTGGAACGTTATAGGCACCATCTTGGAATTACGACGCACTTCAATAGGCTGAGCCTTAGGTTGAAAAAAAATGTTTTAATAACAGGCGCTTGAAAATGGAAAATATCTTGAGCGCAACATTTTGGATTTGTGACGCACTTGAATTGCAGAGCCTTGGGGTGTCGGTTACTAAAGGAGCTTGTAGTTGGAAAAATAACATTAAACATACATTATGCAAGAGCTAAATCTGCCAATTGCAGGTCTTTCTTTAGACACTAAATGTTATCTAATTATTAATTAGACATTAATTAACTTATCCAGGCAATAATCAACATCTGGATGGCATCAAATTTCTCCGATATTAAATAGATTAGAACAGTTCAGCCATATTTTGATTTAAGCTAAAAAAATCGAGTAGCGAGACGTAGCTTCGAACAACCAGTACGGTGGTTGAAATTATTGCACACGTCTTGTCAAACCTTCAAAGGCTAATGTCGTCGCTCGCAATAGAGTAATTTTCAAATATAGTAATTTGAATGAAATTTTCAAATTATTCATTTTACATTATTTATTTTTCGAACTATTATAGCAAGAATGGCTAGCTCTTTATTTAAATCTTACATAATGTACCTTTAAGCGAAATCTAAATATTATATCTGAAGTCTATTAGCCTCATATTAATATATAAGAGAAATGAAATGAAATGGGGTTTAACGTCCTATTGTTCTGCTCCTAAACAATATATAAGAGATAATAAATAACTTGTTTGAAACCATTAGACTAGAAAATTCTTTCCGCACTGACTTTAAATAGCAAATATCTTTTGGTTCACTGTAATTTCTCAAAATAGGTGCCCCACCCCTCCCCCAAATACGACATAATTTCACGGTTTTAGCCCAATCTGATTAAACACGGATCCTATTTTGTTTCGTTTTTCAAAATTTCGTTTTACTTGTCTTTACTACACTAAGATATGGAAGAGTTGTTATACAATCCGCGTTCTGGATTAGCCAATGAAACGGTCTGTTACGGCGAGGTTTTGGCGTGAGGTACACGGAACTATGGGTAACCCACTAGAAACATCAACGCTGATTAGTTAATCATGTCTGACGTCATAGGGTCAAAAGCCGCTCGTAAGACCTTGACGCAACCTTCCACTACAACCGGCCAGATCTTCATGTAGCAGAGGCCAAAGAAAGTATAAACGAAACGAAATATAGATCTGTATTTTAATCAGATTGGTTTAAGCCGAAAGGTTGTATTCTTTAAAACTTTCTGCAAAGGTGGGATGAAAGGTCGCGACCTGGACATTGTCAGTGGTGCAGAACGGAAGGCCTGATGGGACGAAAAACCGAGGTCCCGTGTACACATTGGCGTCCACGTAAAAGATGCATGTTTTCATTTTAATTTTGTACATGAGAGTGGTTCTAGTGGAAAGTATGTCAATTTCTTGTACATTTCTTAATGACTGAATTGCATAATTTTAAAGATACTATTAATGAAACATTGGCGTATTACTTTCAATTGTTTATTTGTATGCAGTAACATATTCTGTGTGTGTTTCTTGGCTTAATGCCAGTCAGCGCATGCTCGTTTTAAATTGACTTTTTGCCAAATTGTAACTTCAAAATTGTTGAAACAGGAATATTTACCACCTAGTCTGAATTCTACGTTTCATACATTTCATGAAGCCGGATACAAGTTTCCATTATGGAGTTTTCACTATATGGTATGTCCGCTTGCTGTCGTAACTCGGTTTTTCTAAATGCGGCCATACGATCTTTTATGTTGACCACTGGTTAGAACCCACTAATTATGTGAGATTTTCTATGTTGACCACTGGTTAGGACCCACTCGCTGTGTGAGATTTTCTATGTTGACCACTGGTTAGGACCCACTAGTTGTGTGAGATTTTTTATGTTGACCACTGGTTAGGACCCACTAGTTTTGCGAGGTCATAAACTCAGTTTGCACGTATTCATCAAATCCCCAGACACACTATATCATTTATATAATTGGAAAGGGTTTGTCTGACATTAAACGATATCTATGCGACATCAGCTACACTCATTGACAATAAAAGATAAACATTTAATATTTTTATTATTATAGGAAAGATGGGGTGTTGGTTGATATTACTTATACTAGCTGTACTCACGACTTCAGTACAGGGTTTAGGAGAGGACCTCACATTATTGATTGGACAGAAGGGGTCGATCGTTGTAGAAGCTGTTATTGACAAGATTAGAGAAAATTGTATTTTCCCTGGTGATCGGTTGTTCCTTACACGTTTAGCTTTGGTCCAGTCCAATAATGGTCTTAATAATGAAGATGATTACCATGGTGGAATATGGCAGGTAATGACGTAGATTAATATCATTCAAAATGTCTACCGATATCTAATCGTCCCCCGCCCTTCGAAGAAAGCAGGCGAATATTAAAATGGGTCTATCCGTCTGCCTGTCCGTCAGACTTTCTGGGACACAATAACTCTGCTTCTAATTAAGCTACACTGTTCAAACTTGGTGTAGACGTATATTAGGCGAATGCCTTGGTGGAGTTCGAAGATGAACATTTTCTGCTTAGGGTAAGCAGAGATAAGCAATTTGATTGGTTGATGCTTTGGGACATGATAACTTTAGTTCTAATTAAGTGAGAGTGAGGACACTTGGTGTGTAGTTTTATCACATCAATACCTTGACTAATTTCGATAATGAGCATTTTCTGTTCAGGGTAAGCAAAACGATAATCAATTTGATTGGTCGAGACTTTGGAACACAATAGCGCTCCTTCTAATTGACGTAGAATGTTTAAACGTGATGTATGCGTTCATTAGGTGAAGCCTTGATGGAGTTCGATGATAAACATTGTCTGCTTAATGTAAGCAGAGATAAGCAATCTGATTGGTTGATGTTTTAGGGCCAATAACTTTGTGTGGGCGTTAATATAGGTGCATGCCTTGGTGGATTTTGAAGATTAACATTTTCTGCTTAGGCTAAGTAGCGATTGGTCAAGACTATTTGCAAATAACAACTCTGCTTTTAATTGAGGTAGAATGTTTAAACTTGATGTAAGTGAATGTCTTGACTGAGCTCAATGATTAACATTTCACACTAAAGCTATGCAGAGTTAAAGGACAATATTGGTGCCAGTCATTATCATATATGTGATAGAACTGGTTAAACACGTTCCAAATATAATTTTAACACAGATATCATTGCTACGATAGAGGCGTAATCAATGTTTCAACAATCGGAAGTGACGCACGCAAAAGGAAAACACGAGTTATCCTTCTATATAACTGATTGAAGTGACGGGTGATAACAGGTACATGGGCGAATTTCTGCCCACTAATAATTCCTTCGAAGACCAAAAGGTGTTGTGTGAGACTGTGAAAGGATATCTGACAATTCAAAAAAGTAACTGAATGTCATTAGATAAGAGAACATGAAAGAAAAATAGAAAAAGTTCGTGCATTACCATGTTTATATAAGCATAGAATGAATAAACACGCGTGAATGTACGGACTGTTTCTATTTTATTCGTGTTCTCTTATCTAATGACATTCAATTACTTTTTTGAATTGTCAGATATACTCTTACAGTCTCATATAACAACTTTTGGTCTTCGAAGGAATTATTAGTGAACAGAAATTCGCCCATGTATCTGTTATCACTCGTCACTTCAGTCAGTTATATAGAGGGATAACTCGTGTTTTCCTTTTGCGTTCGTCATTTCCGATTGTTGAAGCATTGATTACGTCTCTATAGTAGCAATGATCTCTGTGATAAAATAATATTTGGAACGTGTTAAACCAGTTCTATCATTATGTGATAATGACTGGCACCAATATTGTCCTTTAAGCAATTTCACAGGTCGGTGCTCTGGGACAAGATAATTTTGATTCTAACGGATGGAGAGTGATGAAACTTAGTGTATAGTTTCATTACTAAGTACTTCAAGACCTTTACTAAGTTCGATAGTGAACATTTTATGCTTAGACTAAGTATAGATAATCAGTTTGATTGCTCAATACTATTGAAAAAGGTAAATGTGCAATTAATCACTATTAGTCATCTATTTATTTTGGGATTTCATTATTGGCTTTGTTCGTAGTAGTAGACGGCACTCTGGTATTAACTGCAGAACATTGGTACAAAAGTCTACTGATATCTCTTACAAGTCGTAATAGTAGATACAGCATTCTGGTATTGGTAACCGCCGAACATTTCACACGACACCTAGTAGGAAATGGGGTTTGATTTAGATCTAGTGTCCAGGGGTTATCTTCATATGCCCACATTCTATTCGCGTGTGCAGCTTGAGTATCTAAAACAATTCAAAATTCAAAAACACAAGACCATTTTTGTTTTTGTATATTCAAGGTTGACGAGGACAAATACAGCTCCATACAAACATGTCCAGGGATACTAGACGAAGCATGTGAAAAAATTCAAACCACGCTAAATATTGACTGGACGGAAACAACTTGGTTAGATTTACGGAAACCTCTATATTCGGGATTAGCTGCTTCATTGTACATCATGTTTGAAGAAAATATACCATCTAATAGTAGAAAAGGATTGTCCGGTGATAAGAAAGAACAGGCAGGGATTTGGCAGAAGTTATTTGCTCCAGCCAGAGACACTTCAGATTTTGTTAATATCCCAAGTTCTTCATATAAAGGTATTTTATTTTAACGTGTGATCGATCGGAATTGTTGATCAAAAACAAAATTCTGTCGATATAAGACAAAACTGGACAATACTAAATGATCCTACATTGTGCACAACTCATGACATTAAAATTACACTTTTATTATGTCACATGAACCCGAACGCACCGGAAAAAAACACCCGAACAGATCAGTGATGGCATACAGTAAAATTATATTGGGGAATATCAAGCTGGCAACCTAGGAATACTTAAGACCGGTACATATTCCTTTCGTAGTAATCTGGATGTTAAAAACGCCGTAAAAGTATTTAAGTGTATAGCTACCTCATTAGCACGCGCGATTTTCTTTGCCTTCATATCTGACCTAAGGATTATAAAATACTTTGCCTACTAGTCTGATAACAAAAACTGACCACAGATTCGCTGATAATATATACATACCCACCACTGGCATGCGACCAGTCACTTTACATAGTTTCCACATCGCTACCACCAACTTTACTCCCAACCCCTAGTTTATCGTGACTTTGTGTTATTCATTAAAACTGATTTTATTTCAGGCACGTGTAACCGACCCATAGATTTAGCATTTATTATTGACAGTTCTGGAAGCATAAAAGAAGATAATTTCACCATGATTCTACAGTTTATAACCAATGTAGTAGATGGTTTGAATATCGGGCCTAACGAAACACAAATCGCTGTCGTACAATTTAGTAGTAACGCTTATGTAGAATTCTATCTGAACAGCTACACGGATAGTGCAAGTTTAAAACGGGAAGTGGCGAATATTAGTTATATAGGTGTTGGTACCAATACAGCAGAGGCGTTAAATATCACTGCAAATAGTGTATTTGTCGAGAGCAATGGAATGCGATCCAACGCAGCGAGAGTGGCCATTGTTGTAACCGACGGACAATCTAATAATCCAGTTGAGACTATAGCAGCTGTCCCAATATTAAAATCTAAAGGAGTCATTGTATTCTCAGTCGGAGTTGCAAATGTGAATCCAGTGGAATTAGAAACCATTTCGTCTGAGGTTAATTGCACCCATGTTTTTATTTTGAATGATTTTACTGAAATAGAGACCATCATAAATGATATACAGAAAAAGGCGTGTCGAGGTAAGTCGTTGTAAAAGTTCTAACTTGTTATTTAGATGAAACCCTTGGGGCTTTTTTAGTCAATGGTATGACTATTATGCACTGCAAAATAGACTAAAGTAAACCTGTTCATAATGTATGGTATCTGATCAAAGTCGAATATTTGGATGTAATTGGGTGTGATTAAATATCTAACAGTAAAAAGAAAATTCATTTATTTTTCAGTCCACCAGAATTTATACTACAATTCACGTATAACATTACCTTTAACGGAGAATGCTGCAGAAGTATATGTCAAGATTCCAGCTCTTAAAAACCAGAGTGTAGTTATAGTAAGAATATTTTATCATTAACAAAAGACAATACAGCTCGGTAATTGTAAGAAAATGTTCTTAAATTGATAAAATACATCATATTTTTCAAGTATTAACAAAATACATTATGTCAGTCTGATTAAAACACAGATCGTTTAAAATTTCATTTTATTTGTCTTTACTACACTAGGATCTGGAAGAGTTGTTATATAACCCGCGTTCTGTTGATGTGAGGAAATAGCCAATGACATTGTCTGATGCAACGAGTTCTTGGCTTGCGATGCACGGAACTGTGGGTATCCTACTAGGAACATCAACGCTGATTGGTTTATCAAATGTCTAACGTCATAGGGTTAAAAGCCGCTCGCATGACCCCTGACGTAACCTCCCACTACAACTGATCAGATCTTCATGTAGTGTAGGCCATCGAAAATATAAAAAAATGAAATGAAATATAGATCTGTATTATAATCAGATTGTACATCATATGTGTTAATTTATGATGGTAACAAAAGATTTGTTTCTCTCATGTTTATCGTCCGCATTTTGGGAATTTTTTTTAACATTTTCAGACAAATGTGACATGTGGTGTAGTAAAAATCTATGTTTCTGATGATTCGTCCAACCCCAGTGCTGCTCTGTATACTTTAAGAGATGTGGCATTACCCGACACACCGTCTGTAATACGTTTGAAGAACGGAACAGAAGTGACCATCACCTTTCAGGGGTATAAAGAAGGAACGTTAAAAACTATTGGATGTAATAGGCCTGTTTTTACATCTTCAGTTCAGGAAAATCCTTTAGGTAAAGTAATTTACCTATTTGGTTTAATTTTAGTGTCTTATATGTTAACACGAAAAACAAATAAATCTCATTTTATGAGATGTTATATATAATAGAAAATGTATTACTTTATATTTAAAGGTGCTGAAATTGTTTGTCGTAAGAATGAAACTGAACAACGGTGTACATTGACAGATTTTCAACAGAGTAAATATAATAAGTATGTCGAAAATGGTAAGTTTTTTCTAAAAATAACAAATTCTCTTAAATAAACAGCCGTATAAAACAAATTTAACTTCTAAAATGAAATAAAATGGGTTTAACTTCCTTTTCTGCACCTACCGTGGGGACTACCGTTCGCCATGTTGTGTTCTGTGAATTAAATCTAACTTGGACAGCGACAGTACGGGTTACTGCCAGGGATTCGTTTACGGGAACGACCTGCATCTCTGACACGGGTTATCCGGAGTTCTAAATTCCGAGAAAGTTTCTCAACTTAGACCGGGATAGATCCCTAGGCCTCTTATGTAGTCTAAAATAAACCATCTATCACAGTTTCCTAAAAGAGTGCTATTCCAAGAAGGGGCTGGGAAAATAGGGTAACACCACATTGGTCACCTGTATCGTGCACGAGGCATGATGTGGTTATTTTTTACAAAGCCCCCTCCCCATACCAGCTTCACGTAACCAAAATTTTTCATATACATGTTGACATTTGGGTAAACTTTGGTGTATTTTAGCCTTTCGTGTCGTAAAATGGAATTAATTTAGTACATCACCGGTTTTTGTATTGTTTTAAAAACATGTATGTTGTAAATTTATTAGCGTTTTTGTAAAGATCATTGTCATTCCCTATGACAATTCTCATTGTCTGTGCTGTGTCAGGTAGCCACTGTGGCTAAAAGGGTAAGACGCTGGCTCGCTACCCTGCAGGTCCCGTATTGTTGACCGAGAAAGTCATTCAGGATTTTCCGGCGTGGTGCAGGACAGAGGGCCTGGCAAGGACAACTGTCTAGGCGTTCGAATGGAACGAAAAACCGAGGTGCACGTAAAGAAACCTTGTCAGTTGGAATTCGATAAATGAGTAGACCGTAATGCCGCTGTCCGGGCAAAACTTCTCTCATAGCACACTGTATGGTGTATGCCCGTCTTCATTAACCAAGTCGGTGCAGAATTTCATTTAAATACTTTTATATATTGTTAAATTATATTTCATTTTCTTTGGTGTGTATGTTTTGTTGGACTGTCTATAGACATTAAGATTTACAGCATGTTATATTTATTCTAGATGTTCTATATCTTGATAAAGATTGTACATCAGGACTATTTGGTAAAAGCGAACAGATTTTACATACTTACAGTCCCGACCCCACTAAGTTTATAAAATGTGACGAAGATGGGAACTCGTTTATTACTCAGTGTCCTGATGGACAGGAGTGGAATGCAGGTGCACATACATGTGGTACACAAAATAAACCATCGAATGAAGACGATTTACCATCTGTTGACAATAGCACAAATCCAACAAACCAGACTGAGAGTCTAGTGATTATTGTAAATGATTTTTATGAGCTGGTTAACATGTTTAAAAACGAAACAAGTAGGTATATTTTAAATACTTTTTTCTTTTATGCGTATAGATGTTTTAAAATGGTTAGGCCGTCCCGCCCCAACGTGAATTGTGGTTTATATATAACCCTTTTAATCCAGACCTGGGTGGCGTCCTTACTACGCTGCTACGGCGACGGAAAATGATTTCAGAGCGCGCCAAGATCGCCATAAGCGTGGTGAAAGCGTGGTGGTAACGCCAAATATCGTGCTGTGGTCACCATCGACGACAATGATCTACGATCTGACCTGGAAAGTTTGGGACATTTTCTCGCGTTGTGTTCACGTTTGCCGGCGAACTTGTGCATTTTCTGGTCGCCATACAGACGGGGGCATTACATGTAGTAACACACATAATAATCAGTGCGATTCTACCACGTCTTCATTATATAATCATAACCAATAAAAAAAATAATCGGAAATTGATTACGTACCCAATATAAATTTATCATTAGATTGTTATTATTTGTTATTCTAGTGCGGAGTGAAGTTGTGTGTCGTAGATATGGTCAAGAGGTCGACTGTACATTATTTGATATTCAGATCAGTGAATACAGCATATATCTGGCCCAAGGTAAATATGTTTATTTTCTATTACAATGACATTTAGTTTGTTCCATATCTTAATCTATCCAATATATTATTACAAATTATTTAAATTTACCGATAGATATGCCATCTTACATCTATCATAGAATAACAGTCAAGCGCAATAAGCTGCTATATTTTTGAAGATTCCCAGGAAAATCTTGTCTGCTATGTCACCCTAGGAACGTACGAAGCTACTAGATTCCCTGCAGTTATTGTGATATCACAGATCGTTTTTGAATGCAGTATTTGGCTATAAATGTTGATCTCTAATAATTGTAAGAACGTGATAGATTTTGTTTAATTCAAATTACAGATTCATGGAGTTACAAAACAAATCCATGTCCTACGGAAGATCATTTATTAAGAGAAAAGAAGAATCGCCTGAAAGTTAATGAGTTGGACAGTAGAAAGTTTATTATTTGTAAGCCAGGTGCTGTAATGTATGTTACCCAATGTCCCAACAAGATGCATTATTTCAAAAACGAATTTAAATGTCGCTTACCGCAAACTGAAACAGTTTCTTTAGAAATATCTGTAGCTGCAGTTGGTACAATTAATGACTTTATTCAATTAATACAAATATAATAGCCTGAATTGGAAATACGATTACCTACGTACTTACATATTCTATTTGTTTTCATTTAATCTTTCGTCTCATGATATATTCTATTTACAGTTCAAGCATTATAATAACGGGTGAAGACACTTCCTTTTATTATATTACTAGAAGAATGCCCGGCTTCGCTAGAGGGTCATAACCCCGAAACCGGAAGTGGTAGACTAACGCCACCTGACCTATGTTACTCCCCGGTCCGAGCTACCCCTATACCCCAAATTTCAGACTCGGGGCAGACCTAGTGTAGCCGCCAACCCCGAACAGACAGACAAACAGACGGACAGACAGACAAATGACAGTCACAAATATTAGTATAGATAATCATATATTGATATCTATTAAAATTTAATTAAGATATAACAAAAAAAAAAACCCTTAAATTTCTCACCTTTATTGCTATTATATAGCAAATTGCTATCGGTTAACACTACAATTTACATGTAAGGAGATACAAATAAAATATTATTCAAAATATTACACTGACTTATAAGGACTTTAACGTCACCGTGACGCCAATATAATATTTTGGGGAAAAACTATAAATCTTACGTGTAACTTTATCGTTAAACATTAGTTCATTTCCAGTAGACTTGTGTTTATTCATTATATTATGTAATGTACTGATCAATGTAAAAAAATGTTGAAATTAGATTAAAACAATTCCAAACATATACCAACGAAATGAAATAAAATGCGACTTAATGGGTAGAACGCTATAAAAAAAAACATCATTATATTATATTATTATTATTAACGTCCAAATTCCAACTGTCAAGGGCTCCTTTACGTGCACGCCAATGTGTACACGGGACCTCGGTATTTCGCCCCATCCGAACGAATATATCTTGCCCCTTGCAAGATCCTCGGTCCTACACTGACAAGGGGGGGGGGGGACAGACCGGAAAATCCTGATGAACTCTCTAGGCCAAAACCGAGGTCGTTGTAAGGTGTCCCCACAAAAAACCCCAGAACCCATAAACTGTTTATGAAATCCTACAAGATAACTGACACTTCGGGGAATGATCGTACACAGACTGATATTTGTAGGATTTAATAAAGAATTTTATGGGCTCTGTTTTTTGGGGGGTTTTGGAGTTTTTGTTTGTAAATTTTTGGTTTATTTTTGGGGAGGGGGGGGGGGGGGGGGGCAGGGGTATTCTGTATAAATAAATCCATCAGAAGTTTTTTTTAAATAGAAGCAATGACGTCAAATTTTCTTGTGACGTTGTCAAAGGTGTAATAAATAAAATGGGGTTTAATGGCTTATTTCCCTTCACCCTTACAACTAATGAATACGGCGGTAACACTACATGCGGTGTGCTTTGGGAGACATTTTGCCCGGACAGCATGTCCGAAATGGTGGATGTTTAATGGAGCCTAAACGTATCATAAGGCACTTACTTTCTTTAAGACGTATCCCCGGTTGTACGTGACAAGGAGTAGGGTCGCCTGGCGACCCTCGTGGATTTTCACCGGGTTCTCCGTTTTCCTCCCACTACTAAATAGCCTTACGCGCATGCGAACCATGTGTCAGTCCTAACCAGTTAAAGAATTACAAATATACGCAGAGACAATACTAGGGCGACCTTCGGTTATCGTGATTTCTTGACTATGGTCGAACTAACTGAATCCGAATTTCATTTAGTCCGGACCATAGTCCGAAAATACTTAACCATGCTATTGTGGCATGGTCGGAGTAGTTCCACGATGTCGGGTGTCGATGAAACGTAAGTGTAGAATATTTAGAAAGAATCTATTTTTGTTTAGTATATTGATTTTAGGAAAGCTTGAAAGAATTTTAAATGGTTGCGACATCTATGAGCAGATAGCTTTTGTTTCGTATGTTATGTCTGAATCTGTATAAGTCTAAAAAAAATACGCATTATTTCAATACTTATATAATGCAAAAGGAATCTGAGTCGCGCAAGTTTAATTTCATGAAAGTATTATTTGTTTATTAAACTATATAACATCATATAGCATAGCGATTCATTATCCTCCGTGGAGAGATTATAGACCTTCCTTGGGCTTAGGGTTATGGTCGAGGTCTAAAGCAGAATAAATTGACATTACCATGTCCATGAGAGCAGCCATCTTTTAACACACGATTTTCCGGACCATTCGCGTTCGGTTTCTAGTTCCGACCACTAGTCATGAAAAAATTATAACCGAAGGTCGCCTTTACGATCACAAGGTTAATAAAATGTGTAGCAGAGAAGAGAGTATGTGTCACACGGTGGATATAGGGTGATTTTTTGTAGGAGTTTTTAGTAAGAAAGTCAATAATAAGAAAGAAATCGAAAATTCGATTTCTGGTTGGAGAAGGTGTGTTGTACAAGACGGCTGACATATTGACCATTTGAAATGAACGTGATGTGGCATCTCAGCCAGGCACTGATTTGATATTCTTTTTTAAAACTCGCAGCTTTTTAACATTATTTGACCGGTGGACCTGTAGTCTCAGTCAAAAAGAACCTGCTAGTCTTCAAAGGTACGGAGAGGCTGTGACCGTTGTCAATATTTGATGAAAAGTTCCATTGCCCATGCGTAATTGGGAGGTTTTTTTTATGTGGTTGATTACCCAGTATTATTTGGCCAAGTCAAGTAAGAGTTGCGCCCCTTCCCGAAATAAATCCCACAATTCATGCACCCGGTATACTATGTTCATCATTGTGGGTGTGCTGTGAAATTTTCGATATGCACTTTGGTGTTATTCAGAAGGGTTAGTATGTGCATAGTTCAGCAGCTGTTCGACTATAGCATTTTGGATAAAACAAAACACATGGTGCAAAAAAAAGCATGTATTTACAGAGTCCTTGTGTAACTTGTTGACAAATGTTGGGTTGTTTTTTCTTTCTATTTCTTTCTTTGTGAAAACAATATTTTATTTCAATTTGATGAAAAGGGATCAGGGAACATGCATCACCCATTACCTCATACACGGAATATCAAATATATTATAAAAAATATTATAAAATAATGGGAAACTAAAAAAAGCATATAAAAAATCAACTGTATACACTATTTATAAGAAAATAAAAATGAAGAGGCTATTTTATAACATGATTACAAATTGATCAGAAGAGAAAAATCCTCAGATTTTGAAACATCTGGCGACATGAAAGTATTAATGTACTATTTTAAAGACATGATTAGTTGTAGTCTGATTATTTATACCCAATAGAAGCCATTGATTGCTGATATAATGGTAAAGATTCATTGTGTTTTTTCGTGCATCTGAATATAGTGGGCACCAGTGGAGAAAATGTTCAGAATCTTCAAATCGATGACTGTAGCTGCCAGTGTCGTTACAATTTATGTCCATTTATGTAGAAGGTCTTCTATGTATGATCTGATTCTCTCTTCTGCCATTTAAAACGGCGAAATTCAGATATCGAGATCCAATTTGTTCCATTCTTTAGTTGAAGAAGGTCCGAAAGATTTGTTGTTTGTCCATAGTTTGTTCATCCAGTCATTTCGTAAGTTTGACCATGTGGTTGTGTGTATTGAGATAAGACTCAATGACCCTGTCTCTTGTTCGTGAGTGGTAGATAGATGTTCGGTCCATGGTCCATAGTAAGTTCATCCAGTCCTTCGTAGTCGGAGGAAGTAGAGGTATATAGAGTGTTTACATATTTTCCAGAATCACCAGTGTCTACAGGACTATTACAATATCTGGTGGTAATATCTCTGGACTGGGAGCTTACTGTGTCATTAACACCGTGTCCATCATTTGCTGAAAATAAAACCAAATTGAACTAAATTACCCGAAAACAATAGCAAATAATCAATATACCCACACGCCCCTCCCATTTCACACGTTCGTATGAAAACTAATAAATATCTTTTACTGTCGCCAATATACCGGAAGGTCAATTTACATTCATTTCTCTGCACACCAAATGAGAAGTGATATTCGGAGTACTAGATACGCCTACGTTGCATCGTGCACAACAACAGTCTCTGTAGCAAACTGTGGAATCGTATTTGACCTTGATGTTCGCGTGTTGCCAATAGCGTGTTGCGGAAACGCAGAACGTTACAACCCACTTCGGTTCATTTCATATTGACCTCAACAACAGAGGTGATTCTCTATCTAGGAACCAAGAAAGATATAGCAAACTTACACATGATGGCATCCCTTCTCTTCTTGATACACCATATAATAACAAATAACAACCAGACCAATACCAACACCTATAGCTATAGCTATATCAACTCCTAGCTTGTCATCGACAGCTTCCTTTACAGCGTCTTCGTTAGAGATCACAGATAGTGTGTACGTCTTGGAGGTGGCACCCAGACTATTGGTAATTTTAACTGTATAAATGCCCCCATTTTCGTATCTAATATCGTGTATAGTTAATGTTGATTATAGACCATCATCTGTTTGTTTACTTCTTCTACCTGTAACCATGGTAACTGGTTGGTGACTGCCATCTTTTTGGTGATAATACCAGGTGAATACCGGAAGTGGATAAGCTAAAACGTTGACTGATATTATACCCGTTTCTCCACGTGGTACAACTATAACATCCATAGTTATAATAACTATAGTCTGGGTAGTCATAACAACTGGGGTACCTAAAATATCACAACAATTTGTCAGATTGTTCAACAAAAGTTGTTATTGCGGAATACTAATGTCGATCCAGTGCTGACCAAATATGGTTAATATCCTGTGTACCGCAGACCAATGAAGTGAAATGGCGTTGAACATCCTACTGTTCTGAGCTCAGACTGCGCTAATGAAGACCGGAAACCCATGGGACAAACAGTTACTGCATAGGATAGTATTCCAGGGGATATCTGATCGCAAGACCACTTACGTCACCTTGTTCATGCAATTCTCAGTTATATTTTGCATCAAACGTAATCACACATCGCCGTATCGGATCGCAAGAGTGACATAATCTCCGCTTTTTGAATTGTATACTTACATCTAACAATGAGTGGAATAGTTTTAGATACAGGTTGACCAATATTATTACTAGCTGTACAGGTATAGTTATCTGTATGTTTACAACTAGCTTTAGGTATGGTATATGACTACCAGAATAGAGTTGTCCCCCTTGTTGTGATCTGGACCAGGATACATGCGCCACTGGGATACTTTCAACCAAACAGTTAATAGTAACGCTGGAGTTTTCATCTATTATGTTGTCAACAGCATCAGATGTTATTGTTCTTATTATTGGTTCAACTACAATATACACACAACAAAATTAATATTAAAACAAGCCAACAGTGAGGCTGATGTCCCCCGCCGAAATCCTCAAATAAATAGATGACACATATTAATTAATCGCACATCTATTTGTTTCAAAAGTATCAAGCAATCAAACTGATTATCAACTATACACTAAGTTTCATCACTCTCTATCAGATAGAATCAAAGTAATCTTGTCCCAAAGCATGGACCAAGGAAATTGCTTATCTCTGCTTAGTTTTAGCTCGATATGTTAATCATTGAACTCAGTCAAGACGAACATCTACATCAAGTTTAAACATACTACCTCAATTAGAAGCAGAGTTGTTATGTTCCAAAGTCTTGACCAATCAAAATGATTATTGCTCCTTAGCCTAAGCACAAAATTCTCATCATCGAACTTAGTCAAGGTATTGATGTAATGAAACTGTACACCAAGTTTCATCACTCTCACTTAATTAGAACTAAAGTTATCGTGTCCCAAAGCATCAACCAATCAAATTGCTTATCTCTACTTACTCTAAGCAGAAAATGCTCATCTTCACACTCCATCAAGGCATTGACCGAATAAACACCTACCCCAAGTTTGAACATTCTAGGTCAATTAGAAGGAGAGTTATTGTGTCCCAAAAAGTGTGACGGACAGACAGACGGACGGACGGACGGACAGACAGACGCCTTCCCCAACGTCCTTGATAAAGAAGCTTCGTATACATGTTATATTCTAATATTATCAAAAAACATCAATATTTTTATGTATATATATTTGATCAAATAAGCTCCTTGTTATCAGCATCTAGAGATTTTAATTATGTGAATTTCAAATTCACGTTTTCATTTTTGACTCTTTCTAAATTACCCAATATTATGATAAAGGCGCCGACCTTTTATTTTTTTCCTACAATATACGTTTTTGTCTCCTTCATGAAACTCAGATGTCCATATCCAATTGGTTCGCTTGTGATGTGGTTCGTAAGTACTAAAAGCAGCATTCCACTTTCCGTCCTCAAAACTACAAAGAGAGATAAAAGTGGGGTTTAACGTCCACTCGACACAACTATGTTATTTCGGGACTAACATGGTTCAATTTTATTTTAATAATTCGCCTGTGCGTAGCTCTAGGAGTAACCCGGAGGATCCGGAGAAAGCCATCGAGGTTGGACAGGCGACCCCACTCCTTGTCACGCACAAGCGAGTATTCGAAACCACGCCACTTGACTCAATGACAGACCTTACGATAAACCTCTAGACGCCCTAACCCAAAAAACAAACGAAACGTACACTAGCCCCACTCCTACGAGACTGGGCAATTTCTTTTTGACAAATCAGTGGCATCAAAAGTCGACCCAATCAGCTTTCTTTCCGGGGATCACGTGGCTAAGTGGGTAAGACGCTGGCTCGCTAGCATCCAGATTTTCCGGCGTGGTTCCCCCTTGTCAGTGATGCAGGACGGAGAGCCTGACAAGGACAGCTGTGTCTAGTCGTTCGGATGGGACGAAAAAACCGAGGTCCCGTGTACACATTGGCGTTCACGTAAAAGATCCCTTGACAGTTGGAATTCGATATAAGAGTAGGCCGTAGTGCCACTGTCCGGGCAAAAAATTCCCTCATAGCACACTATGTGGCGTATGCCCGTCTTCATTAGCCCAGTTTGGAGCAGAACAGTAGGACGTTAAACCCCATTTCATTTCATTTCATTTCAGCTTTCTTTAAGAACATGGTAGCATATAGGCTGTACATAAATAGTTTGGAATTTATTCAGAGGGTCAGAAGAAGTACAAATGAAAAACATCAGTCATTTCTCGGTCGAGGTCACGGATAAACCGTAGCGAAGATTGTTAATTCGAAATTACATTGGAATCTGAAATGACTGTGGTTTAACGTCCTATATGTCATCATCGACTGGGCTAATGAAGACGAGCATACGTCATACAGAGTGCTATGACGGAAATTGTACCCGGAACTACAGCTTGCTCCTATATCGAATTCCTCCTGCCATGGGTACTTTTATGTGGAAGTCAATTTGAAATACTATATGTTTATAGGGGTTATTTAAGTTCTCTAAATGGTGTTCTGCTTAATGTGTTGAAGTCGTTACATACAAAGGGGTGACGACTAGATTTTGGCTAATTAGGCACCTTGCGGATCCATTCACTTTTTTTGAATTGTCTGTCTGTTTGTGTTTTCCGGAGTATGATGTCTTGTCCGTGTATTTGTTTTTGTGTAAATTTTGTGTGGTGCAGTCCCCCTGCATTTACTATTAGACAGACTCACTGACATTTCCTAATAATAACTGACGTACCTAAACTTTTTATATAAATTAGACCAAGGCGATTATACGGTTCTTTTAGAGATCATTCGGTGTACTTTTCTCATTCGGAATGGGATCAACATACCGCGTTCACAGAGAGACGTACCTTTAGCCACCTCGACTTAGAGGCCGGGATAGACATCATTTAGAGTGTAACTCTCGCTACATAACCCGCTAAGTGATATGGAACTTAGACTCTAGATTAATGTCATGGGCGTGTGTAGTTTCCTGCATACTACCTTTTATATAAAAATACAGTGTTCAGGAATCTAGTTGACTATTGCAGTAAAACGAAAACACAGCGTGACGTTTATGAAGCCCAGAGTGTGGCACAAGATTATGTCGCACTTATATAGTGACACGCCAGAAAATTGCGTTGGACTTTCTCAGCCAATGTCTTACCCATTGAGCCACTGCGGCTCCTTAAATTTTAATCATATTTTATAAAATATAAAATTCGTTGCCATTAAATGCCTCACCTAACAGCCCCGTCGTGTTTAAACATATACTCAATAACTTACCCCGGTGTACTCCAGTTTTCTTCAAATTTTGCTGAACATTTCCATGATGAGTCCGTTGTATAAGTTTGATTTAAAGTGAAAGTAACGTAGATACCACCGAAGCCTCCTATGTCCACACAATGTACTCCAATAACTATCGTGTTGTCAGGAAGGTCTATTTCTACTTCAATTCCCCAATTACTGGGGTTTGCCATTAAAACACCATCCGCGTAGAAATACATATCGTCATCGCAGGTTGCCTTTGCTACAATCTTGGAATCAACTAAAACAAACAAATGAAATAAAATGGGGTGTAACGTCCTATTGTTCTGTGCCGACTGGGCTAATGAAGACAGGCATACGCCATACAGTGTGCTCTGAGAGCAATTTTGCCCGCACACTACGGCCTACTATTATATCGAATTACATCTGCCAATGTGTACCCGAGACAACTATACAGTGTCCCTTGTCTGCTCCCGCGTTTTAATTCGCTTTTTAATCGATAATAATGAGTTAGGGGTTAAGCTCCTTTAAACTAAGCTACAATCCCAAGAAAAGAAGAGGTATATATAACAACTGACCGCAAAGTCTTTAATTTGCCATTTTTTTATTTTGCCATTTAGACATTTATTTACTTGACAAACCCATAAGCAACTCTTTAGAGTGGCGAGATTTAAATGTGGATGAGCACATCCACAAGATTTAAAAATGTAACGCTAAAATGGATAATAAACAACGTAAGATCTTCGCTCTAAATAAATTAATTTGAATGAAATTTTTAATATATTCATTTTTCATTATCTATTTTTGAACTAGTATAACAAGAACTGTCAGCTTTTTATCTAAATCTTACAAAATAATCATAATGCATTTAAACTAGTATTGTATATAAATCTTAAATAATTTCGCTCAGAATAAAGTAATTTGAATGAAATGTGAGCTCGTTATCTAAATCTTATATAATGTATCTTTAACAAAGCTACCACTAATATAATTTACAATAATTATTTTAAAAAGATTATATTACTCACCGTGAATAAACGTTGTAATCGCCAATAAATAAAATATATTATATAATCTCCCTGTCGACATCTTGAATATTGTGTTGTGACATCAACCAGGATATAACGTTAATTACTCTCGTCTGTCACAATGTATAACCTGTTATTGTTAAGACCAGGGTCTAACGTGAATTACTCTCGCTGTCATAAAGTATCACATCTAATTAGTAAGACCAGGAAGGTATCTGTTTAATGATCAAACAATGAATTAAATTATGCTGCATTATATTAGGGGGTAAACACGTTCCTGGTTCATATCTACATGGAGTCTATTATGCGTTTAGCCACGCTTGAATAATTAGGACACGAGACCCGACAGTATCTTGCTGTTCTCATGGATAATCTAAAGACGGTTGAATAACAATAAACCCCAGGTAAATACGAACCAGGAAGTGTTTATCGATATTGTAACTCAAATATTTAGGGATTTTCTTAACATATACTTAAATCTTGTGGAATGTATTACGGGGTCGGGTAGACTAAAATATTTAATCAATGGCCTGGTTGAATGTAATACCATTTAGAAGAGGTCTGAGAAATATTTAAAAAAACAACAAAGCTACTCAAATCGTCAAAAAGGGATAGCCTTGTAACTTATCCGAAAGATAAACTTAGATGTTGCCAAAAACAATTGTTAAGGATCCGTTATGTTTTCAGAAACTTTGATCTCTGTCATGTTCGCAAGCTTTTCGTACGCGTAAGTTATTTTTAAAACAAAAAGTACAGGATCAATAGAGTTCAGACTTCAGGATCCTAATGCTTCTCATTGTAGTAACACATTCACAATGTTTTCGGAACAAGGGACATAACTCTGTAGGGTCGCCGAATGTGGGGATCATTATGGTTGTTCTCTCCTGATTAAAAAGTATATTTTTGTTATGTAATATTTACATTTGGTCAAAAGAGCCTAACATTATATCAGGGATTATACATGTAATTCAATATTTTCTTAAAGTTCGGATTTTCCAACGCGACTAGACAAACAAAAACTAAATAAAAAGGCCTACCTTATCATTAAGCTCTATCGAACGGACCGAGGAGATGATGGATTATGTTTTTGTCCACCCTATGTCTTAGATATAGGTAGAAATGGTTGCCGGTCTATTACGGCTTAGCGGGGTATAAATTAGCCTTTAGTCTTTCGGGTACCCCACACGCATTTATACCGATCGTTTAAGCTCGTGTTTAACATTCATATTGACAATAACTGTTGTGTATTTATACCGATCGTTTAAGCTCGTGTTTAACATTCATATTGACAATAACTGTTGTGTATTTATACCGATCGTTTAAGCTCGTGTTTAACATTCATATTGACAATAACTGTTGTGTATTTATACCGATCGTTTAAGCTCGTGTTTAACATTCATATTGACAATAACTGTTGTGTATTTATACCGATCGTTTAAGCTCGTGTTTAACATTCATATTGACAATAACTGTTGTGTATTTATACCGATCGTTTAAGCTCGTGTTTAACATTCATATTGACAATAACTGTTCTGTATTTATACCGATCGTTTAAGCTCGTGTTTAACATTCATATTGACAATAACTGTTGTGTATTTATACCGATCGTTTAAGCTCGTGTTTAACATTCATATTGACAATAACTGTTGTGTATTTATACCGATCGTTTAAGCTCGTGTTTAACATTCATATTGACAATAACTGTTCTGTATTTTATTTCTATTGAATGCACGTCCTAAAAGGAATTTAATTATCACCGAACCCTACGCGACAGGCCCGTAGCTAGCGAAGGGGGGAAGGGGTAAGGGGACGCCGATAACCCCCATTCCTTTGGACGTAATACGAAGCCAACGACCACCGTGGCACAAACATATCGTTATGTATGTGGCGCAACCCACCCCCCCCCCCCCCCACACCAAATGGTGAAGCGCCTCATAATGAATAACACGATTAACACCACAACTTGATTGAAGGGGTGCCCAAAACTGCGTGATCTGTGGGGTGCCTTATCCCGGAGGGGCGCCCATAATGTCATGATTGGTGGGGCGCCTTTTAATGACAATATAATGATTGTCAGACTGCACATAATGCCGGGGGGGGGGGGTTGGATGGCTGAATGGTTAGCGTTTGCGCGCTGTATCATAAAGCCTGTCATTGAGTCGACTGGCGTGGTTTCGAATCCCCGGTTGTACGTGACAAGGAGTAGGGTCGCCTGTCCAACCTCGTGGGTTTTCTCCGGGTCCTCCGGTTTCCTCCCACTGCTAAAGACCCCTATGCACAAGCGAATTATTGAAATAAAATGAAACCATATGTTAGTCCCGAAATGACCTAGTTTGTGTCGAGTGGACGTTAAACCCCATTTCTCTCTCTCTCTCCCTCTCGCACATAATGCCTAGTGAGATTGACTGGGCGCCCACGATTTGATCAATGGGGTGCCTCAACCCGGAGAGGCGCCTATAGTGCCGAGAGTGGTGGGCCGTCCACGACGAGATCATGGCCGCCCATAATATAATTGGCGGTGCGCCCACGACTTTCCGTCAATTACATAGTTCCTCTCCTCATGTTCTATTCTAAGATAAGCCCCATCGGTGCTTCCAGAAGCCCTTGCCCCCCTCCAATCATTTTTGGGCTAGCTACGGGTCAGCCCGGTGTTTGTTGATAACTTACTGTGTTATTTATACAAGACACTTTCAAAAGAACAATAAAATACCTTTGAACGTTCTCGTAATATATAAACCCAAATGCTCTTCATTTTATACAATTCTATAGATCAGTTACTATAAAAATAAATACTAATCATTTTTAAAATATTTCTATTGATCTATTCTAAAGGCTGGTTTATTTCCAATATTTTGTTTTGTTATTTGGCTATTAATATACACCCTAATAACGATACATTGGTGTAAATGTTTACTAACAATATAAAATTGGTAGTCTCCCAAAACATGATGGTGTCAAGTTAAATCGTATATTTTTCTTCCCGACATTTTTTTGGGGATTTTGATTGGTGGAAACCACATTGGAATCGCATTCTACGCTCCTCTGGGGAAGCCCTAAACCTCGCGAACCCTGGCACAGGTGAGGTACGTGCGCCATGGGTAATCTGACAATGAATGTGGTCGACACAAATTAGATCATTGCGGGACATATGATTTAATTTTATTTCAATAATCTGCTTTCATCTGGGGTGTTGGATGGCCAAATGGTTAGCGCGTGCGCGCTGTATCATAAGGTCTGTCATTGGGTCATCTGGCCTGGTTTCGATTCCCCGGTTGTACGTGACAAGGAGTAGGGTCGTCTGTCCAACCTCGTGGGTTTTCTCCGGGTCCTCCGGTTTCCCCCCACTGCTAAAGCACAAGCGAATTATTGAAATAAAATTGAACCATATGTTAGTCAAGAAATGACCTAGCTTGTGTCGAGTGGACGTTAACCACCCGCTCTCTCTCTATCTATCTCTCTCTCTCTCTCTCTCTCTCGCTTTCATCAGTGTATTTCGCGTTAATTAACTAGATTTAAAATACAGATGTGACGTCATCCTTTGATGTTGGAGTACCATTATTTCAAATAATCGTACGGGCAATGTGCCAAGCGTAACTTGGTAAAATATTGAACTCGAGTGACGTATTTCATTGCAAAGCATGTGCAAGTGTCTGTATTTTAAGTTGTTTAATGGTCTCGAGCTTAAGACATTGCGTAATATATTGTAAAAACATTCGGGCCTCACGGCCCTCATGTTGTTACAATATATTAGTTAATGTCTCGCTCTCGACACATGGACATGGAGAAAAGCAGCATATTTATTGATTTCCCCTCTATATTTGACGGTGTGTTGAGTCGTATGAAATAACACCTTTTATATACTGTCACCCGATCCGCCCATCCAATATTTGTCGTGTTATTCTTATATATGTCCACCAACTTGAAATATTGTTAATAAACACGTTGTTTAAAATGCCACATGGCGGCAAATATTAACTTTAATCATCAGGAACAATAACGATAAATATCGACTTGACCATAATAATATGGACATTGTCAATATTTAATCATACCATTACTTTTATGACTAGGATATATGCTCCACTCCCCAACGCAGCTACAGGCTAGCCCATGGGGCCCACTGCCCAAGCAGCTACATACTAGACCATAAGTCTCCCTTTCCAATCAGCTACAGGCTAGACCATAAGGCCCAGTACTCAAGCAGCTACAGACTAGACCACTAAGCCCATTACCCAAGCAGCTACATACTAGACCATAAGGTCCACTACCCAAGCAGCTACAGGCTAGACAATAAGGCCAACTGCCAAATCAGCTACAGGCTAGGCCATGGGGCCCACTACCCATGCAGCTACAGGCTAGACCATAAGGCCCACTACCCATGCAGCTACAGCTACAGACTAGACCATAAGGCCCACAGCCAAAGCAACTACAGGCTAGACCATAAGACCCACTGTCCATGCAGCTACAGGCTAGACTATGAGGCCCACTACCCAAGCAGCTACAGCGACAGACTAGACCATAAGCCCCCCCCCCCCCCCCCCGTCCAGTCAACTACAGGCAGTGGCGGATTAAGCTCCACCAAGGCCTGAGGCGGCAGTTGCTGGAGGGCCTATTTAGTTCTTAAATAGGGCCTATTTAAAATGGCGTGGGCCTAATTAATTTCGGGTCAGGGCCTATGTTGATTCCCGTTGGGCCTAAACCCCACCCCCCTAACATTCATTGTCTATGCGTTTTTAATCGTATCAGACAAGTCTAAAAAAATTTTTTTTACAAAATCTTTGGGCCTGAGGCTGCAGCCTCATCAGCCTTACTGATAATCCGCTACTGGCTACAGACTAGACAATAAGACCCACTGCCAAAGCAACTACAGGCTAGACCATGAGGCCCACTGCCCAAGCACCGGGATTCAATCGAACTGTCTGACTCGGAACTTTCTAGGCCAACACAACACCGGGATTCAATCCGGGGTCTTTTAGTTAGCGATGTAGAAGAAAAAGACAACGTTTGGTATTCAAGTGTTTGAACACCTCAAATGAAAAATAGCACCCGGTGTTCTTATATCATGATATTTTGGCATATGTTTTATATTTATTTGTGGTTGGATGGTCGAATGGTTAGCACGTGCGTGGTTTCGAATACCCGGTTGTACGTGACAAGGAGCAGGGTCGCCTGTCCAACCTCGTGGGTTTTCTCCTGGCCCTGCTGTTTCCTCCAACTATTAAAGACCCCTACGCGCAAGTGAATTATTGAAATAAAATTAAACCATATGTTAGTCCCGAAATGACCTAGTTTGTGTCGAGTGAAGGTTAAACCCCATTTCTCTCCCTCGATATTTATATCATAAAAAATTGTAGATCCGTATATACTAATTAGATCATTTCGGGACTAACATATGGTTTAATTTTATTTTACTGTATTCAACGTTATTTACCAAGATATAAAACTAGCAACACCTGGACAAGGAGAAAAAGCAATATATTTATTGTTTGATTGGTTTGATCAAAAATAAACAATGACCTTGACCTTAACAAAAATAAACAATGTAAAGTGGTTTATTCCGACCCAAATAAAACAAACATGGATATTTATGTATCAAACGCCAATACAATGTACTCATAATGATTTTGAAACGTGGTTTATTCCGACCCAAATATCCCAATAAAACAAACATTGATATTTATGTATCAAACGCCAATACAATGTACTCATAATGATTTTGAAACGTGGTTTATTCCGACCCAAATATCCCAATAAAACAAACATTGATATTTATGTATCAAACGCCAATACAATGTACTCATAATGATTTTGAAACGTGAAGTTGCATAAGAAGTCTTATCTACAGTATACAAGGGAGGTAATTTAAACAGGTGACCGGATGTGAGCGTTACGGTATTCAGTAGTAGATGGCTAAATCTATTTGTTAAGGCCAAGATTTCGTCAAGGTCGCTGAGATGTAAATAGGGTTAGGACACGAGATTGTTGGCAAGATTGTATGTTAGCGTTAGGGTAAGCGTTAGGACTAGGTCCAGGGTTAGGGTTGGGATTAGCCCTAGCCCTGTTTACATCTCGTGACTTTTGACCGCACTTGAAGTTGACCTTAACAAAAATAGATATAACCGGAAAAGATATTAAATGAACGAGGGGATATTCTAGACTGGATAACCTGTTCTAAATGACGTCAGACTGGTTCCTATGTCACTGCGCTATTCTGACTTCAACATGCAAGTGTTAGAGCAGGTTATCCAGTCTTGGGGATATTCTGACAACCGATTCAATGAATACTGTTTGATCACAGGTTGACTGGATACTGTAGATCAAGGATTGATTGGATACTGTTTGTTCAAGCAAGGTTGACTGGATACTGTAGATGGAGGATTGACTGGCTATATTGTTGTTCAAGGATTGACTGGATACTGTAGATGGAGGATTCCCCGGATACTGTTTGATCATGGGTTAACTGGATACTGTTTGATCAAGGTTGACTGGATACTGTTTGTTCAAGGATTGACCGGATACTGTAGATGAAGGATTCACTGGATACTGTTTGTTCAAGGATACTGTTTGTTCAAGGTTGACTGGATACTGTTTGATCAAGGTTGACTGGATACTCATCGTTCAAGGTTGACTGGATACTGTTTGGTCAATGGTCGATAAGATATTATTTGTAATCTACTTACGTTCAGCGATTGACTGGATAGTAAGGTAATGAACAATGGTACTTGTTTTGTCAACTCTTCTTTCCAGGTCGAGCCACCGTTCAAAAACAAAAATATGATCTGTCTTCAGAGGAATTTTGATGGCATTACCTTCAACGGTTAAACCCTCTTTCATAGCCGTCAGCGTTGCAGCCTTGGTTATAACAATCTGAAAGGTATTAAACATAACTCATGTGTGTGCGTGTGTGTGTGAGAGAGAGAGAGAGAGAGGGAGAGAGAGAGGGGGTGCGTAGAGGTCTTTAGCAGGTAGAGGGGGGGCAGAAAAAAGCCACAAAATTGGACAAGCGGTCCTATTCCTTGTTACGCACAAGCGCGGAATCGGAACCCCGCTACTTTATTCAGTGAAAAGGCTTACGGTCTAACGCACCGATGAGAAAAGGTGATGAACTAGAGTAGGAGCAGATAGTATAACAATACAAATAGTTAATATACAAAAATTACTAATTCTAGGTCTTTTTGAAGAGTGTCTTCCTGTCCTGTAAATAACTAATTAGTATAACAGGCCTTGTGTATAATTAATTAGTAACAGCCTCTGTATAGACCTAATTAGTAACAGGCCCTGTATATAACTAATTAGTAACAGGCCCTGAATATAACTAATTAGTAACAGGTCCTGTATATAACTAATTAGTAACAGGTCCTGTATATAACTAATTAGTAACAGGCCCTGAATATAACTAATTAGTAACAGGTCCTGTATATAACTAATTAGTAACAGGTCCTGTATATACTATTCAAAAAAAGTAGGGGATATATGATTTTTAAGTGTTATTAAAGTCACCTAATGAAACTGACGAAGAAACAAATGACAAAATGAAATGAAGTTCACATTCATCGATTTATTCCAAATGATCGTTAGACTTAGTAAGGCACAGACTGACCATTATAAGGGTAAAATGATACCCGGGGTCAAACAGCAAAGTTACCACAGCATCACAACCAAGTCAGTAACGGGTAAATCCTTCTCTGTTTGCCAAACAAGCATTGATCCGACGTGGCATACTCCTAATAAGACGTCTAAGGTCATTTTGGTCCAGATTGTCCCATTCCTGTTGCAACGCAGCAGCAAGTTCTTGGACATTGGCAGGACGTTGTTGACGTTGACGTAACCTCTGTCCAAGCATGTCCCAGACATGCTCGATGGGGGAGAGGTCGGGACTCAGTGCTGGCCAAGGTAATGTGGTGATGTTCTGTTGTTGGAGGTAACCTGTGACATCTTGCGTTGTCATCCTGGAAGATGAAACGGCGGCCATGACGTCGTGCGAACGGCACAACATGGACTGCCAAGATGTTGTCCCGGTAGTACTGGCCTGTAACACGCCCTGCAACAACATGTAAAGCCGTTCTTCCAGCAACAGTGATGCCTCCCCACACCATAACAGAACCACCCCCAAATCGATCATGTCTGATGACGTTAACGTCTTGGAAGCGCTCGTTTCGACGACGCCACACCCTCCTACGTCTGTCCAAAAAATCAACAGTGAACCTTGACTCATCTGAAAACATCACATTGCTCCAGCGTCGATTATCCCAGTGTTGACGATCCCTACACCAACGACGTCTTGCCTGAATGTGATGATCTCTCAAACAAGGGATCACGCGAGGACGTCGGGCGCGAAGGTGACCCCTATGCAGTCGATTCCGAATCGTCTGGCCACTCACTCTCACACCAGTGTCTGTTTGAAGACGAGCGCTGATCTGATTTGCTGTGATGACACGATTTCTCAAGGCCAAGGTACGGATAAATCGATCCTGGGCTTGAGTTGTCGCCCTTGGTCGACCTGAGCGTGGTCTGTCCTGTACAGATTGTGTATCACGGTATCTGGACCATAGCCTGCTTATGACAGACTGAGAAACATTCGTCGTCCGCCCACAACCGCCTGTGTTGTGCCGATCTGTAGCATGCCAAGGGCACGTAACCTTTCATTTTGGGTAAGCCGACGCATATCAAAATTTGTTTTCTGGTCACTAAAACAATTAAACTGATGTTTCCACCCTGGAATTCAATGCCACAATGACTGTAACATTCAAAGTCAGAGTCGTGCAAATCTTGGGTTGGACCCCCATGATGATCCCAAGCATCACCTGCATTGCATGCGGTAGCTATTGGTGCGTTTGGGCGTCACATGTAACTGGAAATGTTTCTTCTGTTAGGTTCTATAGTGACTTTTTTCGTAGTCATTTGAATATTTTAGTATTATGCCCCCAAAATCAAATATCCCCTACTTTTTTTGAATAGTATTTAACTAATTAGTAACATGCGCTGTATATAACTAATTAGTAACATGCACTGTATAGACCTAATTAGTAACAGGCCCTGTATAGAACTAATTAGTAACATGCGCTGTCTAGAACTAATTAGTAACAGGCCCTGTATATAACCAAAACAAACTTACATTTTCAACATACCAACTTGGATTTACACCGTTGTTGTCACGTTTTAAAAGAACTTGTTTGATTTCCCCGACATCATTAGCTTTTCGCTGTAAATAAAACAGTTCGTTCATTAGTTTCACTCATGAGCTATGTAAACATATCAAATAAAATGGGCGCCATGGTGGCTCAGTGAAGAAGGCGCTGGGTTACTAACCAGAAGGCCCCGGGTCGACCCCAGTGTTGGCCAAGAATTATACGAGAGCCACGGTGGCTTAGTTAGTAAGACGTTGGCTGGCTAACCTGGGGTCCCCTGTTCGATCGCTGTGTTGACCGAGGGGGTTCATTTAGATTTCCTAGAGTGATTCCCCTTTGTCATTCGTCTACTTTGCAGTTGGAATTCGATATAAGAATAGGCCGCAGCGCCTCTGACGGGGCACAATTTCCCTCATAGCACACTAAATGCCTGCCTCCATTAGTCCAGTCGGTGGAAAATAGTATTCATTCCACTGTATGTAGAGGAGTGATACGGTAAGAGGTGTCTACAAATCCAATCAGTTCGGGTTGTAATTCAAAGAAACCAGATGGCCACAGTGGTCCAGTGAGCAGGGCGCATGTTCCTTAGGGTTTTCCACCATGGCAAGGATATGACGTGTACTCGAAACAAGTTGGCGGCAAAGCCCCCTCAAAAAAAAATGACAACCTTTCAAATATAAAATAATACACTTGATTATGATCACAGAGTGATGCTCTTAAGGTCGGTTTTAATGGCACCCACGCGCCAATAGGTACCTGATTCGTTTGTCCTGATCCAAACTTTCTTATATCACTTACGTGGAGGCTATGGGACGCAGTCTAATTTTCAAAATTTTGGGGGGACACACACACACACCGCTGCGCGAGCGTGGCGCTCGCGGGCTCCCGCCTTCGCCGGTCGCTGCTCCGAGCTCAGTAACTCGGGCATTATATTGGCGCCTCCTATCACTCTGCTGCACCCCCACTTTTAAAATCCTACATACGACCCTGGTTGGCGATTGGAAGTCGAAATAAGGGTAAGCCATCCGATCTCCTACCATTCTTCATTTTCCCGGTTGGTGCAGAGCAGTAGGACATTAAACCCCATTTCATTTCCAAGCAACACACGCCCTTCGTAAGCACGTCATACCAGAATCGTTGGTTCGGAATAAATTATAAACAAAATAACCCACATTAAAATCAAATGTTGCTTTGTCTAAAAAATAATAAACTCACTTCTTTTCAAGCGCTTACCTCAAAAACATCTGTCGACCCTTGTTCAAAATCATTCCTTTTCAAGTCATCAATACGAATAAGGCCGGTTTGACTAGTGGTTCCAATAATTTGTACATGTACTCTAGCATTTGTGCCGGCATTTGCTCTGTTACCTGTCTTAACAGCTATGGTATATACAATATCTCCATCTAAAATGAAATGGGGTTTAACGTCCTACTGTTCTGCTCCAAAGTGGGATAATGAAGACGGGCATACGCCATATTGTTTGCTATGAGGGAAATTTTGCTCGGACAGCGGCACTACATTTATGATAATAATAGTAGACTTTTTACGAACTAAATATATATATATATATATGCTAAATATATATATGCACTAAATATATATGCTCATAGGGCTACAAACGTTCTGAAGACATTATTGTTTATGTGCTATAACAGTTTTATGTCTCTTTAAAGGCTCAATATCACTCTTGTTGTAACTGAATAATATTTCCCAATCTTTATTCTAGTCAACAAATGTACTATTTTACAATATTCCAAATAATTGATGATACAAATTTCATCTTAACACACCTAATTTAAAAAAATTGGAAAAATTCAACTAAATGATTTGAAAAGCCTTTTCAAATGTGTCTTGGATTTAAAAATATTTTGGAACCCTCTGGATAAGTAAAATAGGATGTAATGGATAATTTACACAACGGGTAGGACACTTAAACATCTAATACTTAGAATAAGGCTATTATTTATTTTCTGGAGCTGTCAAGCCAGCAAGAGTGTTATTGTCTCTTTAAACAGGTGTGTTTCTGAATTGCAATAAGGTTGGTGCATTTTTAACTTCTGATTTGTAAATTTAAATTAACATACTTAAAAAACAGAGGAAAATATTTACACGACATGCCCGTTAATTTAAATAACCAATGCAAAGTTTATTAAAACAATGTTCGTATATGTCTTTCTATTAATCAGAAAAGATTTGAGTATCAGTCATCTCCCCGGACTGATTTACAACATTTTAAGTACAGTGGACCCTGTCACTTCCGAAAGCGTAGCCATATTTTAAGTTCTGTGTATTCGAGGGTACATTATAATAATACTTCCTGTATTTGAAGGTACAATAATACTTCCGTTATTGAGGGAATTGAATATTCCGATATGCTGAGTAATTCGGCACATTGTATCGATCCCGTGCCATGTCGGAATTGACAGAGTCCTCTGTTGAACATTGTTTTAAATTATGATTATATAAAGAGATTAAAGATACATTATGTAAGATTTAGACAAAGAGCTGACCATTCTTACTATAATAGTTTAAAGATAGATAATGTAAAATTAAAATATTGAAAATTTCATTCAAATTACTTCATTCTAAGCCAAGTTATCATTGTTTGTAGTTTTGACAAGATGTGTGCATTGTGGTAACCGGGGCACTGGTATATTCGAGACTTAGCCTCGTTTATCCATTTTTGAATTATATTTTTAAATGGCGGACCGTTCTAATTAAGTTAAAATCTCGAGTATCCGATGCCATCGAGAGATCATTATGGTCCTATGTTAATAAATGTCTAATTAATAGTTCATATAACATTTCAGACCTAAAGAAAGACCTGCAATAGGCAGATTTAGCTCTTGCTTAATGTATGTTTAATAATTATTATTTTAGCACTAAATTACAAAAGAGAGAAAGAGGGAGAGAAATGGGGTTTAACGTCCACTCGACACAAACTAGGTCATTTCGGGACTAACACATGGTTCAATTTTATTTCAATAATTCGCTTGCGCAGTGGGAGGAAACCGGGGGACCCGGAGAAAACCAACGATGTTGGGCAGGCGACTCTACTCCTTGTCACGTACAACCAGGGAATCGAAACCACAACAGTTCACTCAATGACAGACCTTATGACACAAAACGATAATTAACTGTCAGGGATAAAGTATATATTTCGGAAGGGCTCGCTTATTATTCAGTACGTTTTAAATGGGGGAATTTCCTGACACATTAAATACAAAAACAAAACACTTCTTACCATCAGTCGTATTAATTGTCGGTGTAATGAATGAATCTGAAATGACAAATGCATTAAAAGTTTGGGGTGAACTGAGAAGGAGCGAGAGAGAATTTAGGAATACAGAACTAGCCATGCTATTTGCTACACAATAGTTGAAATGGCTGTTACATTCCAGCCTCGGAATCCCAGTGATCTCATTACGTTCATCCACGGCATATTCACGTATTCAAATTATCTGCCCTTGATTGTAGCTTGATTCTATGAACCAATTAAAAAACAGTTTACAAACCAGTCTTAGCCTCACTGCTTAAGTTCACAACAAGATGAGAGTTACTTCCCTTCGCCATCTTCCTTTGTTTTTAAGGAATTTAGTGGAATGAAATGAGACCGCTGGGGATACCGAGAAATGACATGAAATCAAATGAAATAGGGTTTAACGTACTACTGTTCTGCTCCTAAACTGGGCTAATGAAGACGGGCATACGCCATACAGTGTGCTATGAGGGAAATTTTGCCCGGACAGCGGCACTATCGCCTACTCTTATATCGAATTCCAACTGCCAGGGGATCTTTTACGTACATTCCGATATATACACGGGAGCTCGGTTTTTCGTCTCATCCGAAGGACTAGACAGCTGTCCTTGTCAGGCCCTCCATTCTGCACCACTGACAAGAGGAAACCACGTCGGAAAATCCCGATGAACAGGATACCGAGAAAGGTTACATTCTGAACCCGATGACATAAGCCTATGAACCAATGAAATTATACAAGTCGTTTTACCACTAACTAATATTATTTACACAAACTAAATTAGGGCAAGTTTGAAGAGTCTATGCGTGATTTTGGTCCTAACGAATCCCATGAAAACTAAAAAATTGTTATATTTAAATCAGGGCAAGTTGAAAGACTCTATGCGTGATTTTAGCCCTAAAGAATCCCATGAAAACTAAAATATTGTTAGATTTTAATCTCTTAGGAGAGACAGTCCCCAAATGGTTCAATTCCGTCAGAACTGTCGATAGCGGGGGGGGGGGGGGCAAGAGGGACAGCTACCTACGGGCCTGATGCTGTTCATAATTTACAAAGTTCTGATGAACTATTCTGTATGTACAAGGAAAACGGACCTGCGTCGGTGATTCGTGTTTTAAATCTTATGATTTTATTAGAAAATTATTTCAGCATGCTACTGGAATATATAGCTTACTCTTGGTCAAACTATCTTTCCGCGCATTATTACAATCGCCATCTGCTATTCGACATCCACCGGAAGTACAACTAGAACATGTCTGTAAGCACAGCCCATTGGATCCCCAATATCCATCCCTACAGCCAATCAAGCAAACACCATCTACTTGTCGACATGTACCATTACAGGTAAAGCAGGATTCTTCACACACATCACCGTAGTAACCATCCTTACATCCAAAACATCGTCCTATCCTGTCATCACATTTACCATCCTTACAATGGCTACTACAAATAGACTGGCATCTTTTACCATAGTGATCACCATGACAACCATTAGAACATGATCCTCCTATCTTATCACATGTGTTGTTCAGACAGGATGTGGGACATCGTATGTTACAGTTGCTACCATAGAAACCATCCGGACAGTCATCTAAAGATCATAAAGATATCAATTAGGCAAACTGCGTACAATAAAGATACCAATTAGACACACTGCGTATAATAAAGCCATCATATAGACACACTGCGTATAATAGAGATACCAATTAGACAACCTGCGTATAATAGAGATACCAATTAGACAACCTGCGTATAATAGAGATGCAAATTAGATAAACTGCGTATAATAGAGATACCAATTAGACAAACTGCGTATAATAGAGATACCAATTAGACAAACTGCGTATAATAGAGATACCAATTAGACACACTGCGTGTAATAGAGATACCAATTAGACAAACTGCGTATAATAGAGATACCAATTAGACAAACTGCGTATAATAGAGATACCAATTAGATAAACTGCGTATAATAGAGATACCAATTAGATAAACTGCGTATAATAGCTTTGTAGGAAGCAGCTTTGCAAACAAAAAAGAAAAAAAAAGAAAAAATAATTCTTGAACAGACATGCAATCTGTTTAAAACACAGATCCTATTTCTTTTCGATTTTTATACTTCAAAATTTCCTTTTACTTGTCTTCACTATAGTAGAATCTGTATAACCCGCGTTATAGTTGATGTAAGTGATTAGCCAATGAAACGGTCTGTTACGGCGAGTTCTTGGCGTGCTCTGCACAGAACTGTGGGTAAACACCTAGAAAGGTCAACGCTGATTGATTAATCAATGTCTGACGTCAATGGCCGCTCGTACGACCCCTGGCCCGACCTCCCAGTACAACTGGCATGGTCCAACACCCAAATCAGCCTAATAGGCCTACTGGTCTTTATTTTGACTTCAAATGTACAACCACGTGGGATTTCTCCTGGTCCTGCAGTTTCCTCCTACTGCTAAAGATTTCTACGTGAAAGCTTCTTATTAAAAAGAAACTCTCTCTCCCCCCTCTCTCTCTCTCCCCTCTCTCTCTCTCTCTCTCTCTCTCTTTCTCTCTATCTTAATAGGCCATGCAATAAGGTGACCTTGAAAAGTATAATGATCAAACTCTTTACCTGCAAATACTTGAACCTCACAGATATCCAATCTTGCATCAGTGCGTTTAACAGATATAAAAATATATCTAGCGGATAATGATGGTATTGCTGGATGATTGCATCTCTCGATGGTATATACTGAATCTGTTGTTGATGCGCTATCTTTAAAACAGGGAGTAGCTGCTGTAAATCCTGCTTTATCACACTGACCACTAGAACTTATTCTCATCTCAAATCCATCACTCAGTTCATGTCTTCCTGATATAACATTGTGAAAATAAGTTCTTTAATAAAAGTTCAATTATTATCCTTCTTGATTTTACACGGACGTTTAGCACATAGTTCAATGCATGTTCCTTAAAGATACATTATGGGAGATTAAATAAAGAGCTGACAGTTCAGATTATACTAGTTAAAGATACATTATGGGAGATTAAATAAAGAGCTGAAAGTTCAGATTATACTAGTTAAAGATACATTATGGGAGATTAAATAAAGAGCTGACAGTTCAGACTATACTAGTTAAAAAATAGATAACGTAAAGGGAATTAGCTGAAAATTTCAGTCAAATTGATCAACTTTGATTTACTGAAATAAATTTTATCTTTATGTTAAAACAAAATTAAATTAAACAGAAATACATTTTACAAATCTGATATGACAAATGTCTGATTTGTAAAACAAATATTGATTTTAAGATACAAATGTTAATTTTAGTGTACAAATGTCGAAATAAGACAACAAATGAAGAAATAAGTATTAAGGACTATGAATTAAGAAATAAGAATTATGAACACTGAATAAAGAGCTGTTTGGTCTTCCATAAGTTTTAACTTGGCTCAGAATGAAGTAATTTGAATGAAATTTTCAATATTTTCATTTTACATTATCTATTTTTGAGCTATTATTACAAGCATGGTCAGCTCTTTATGTAAATTTTACAGAATGTATCTTTAAAGAGATTATGTATTATATAATTATTGTATAGACAACAATCTGCTCTTTCCAATATTATAGACATTATATATTATTATATAGACCACAATCTGCTCTTTCCAATATTATAGACATTACATATTATTTTACAGACAACAATCTGCTCTTTCCAATATTATAGACATTATATATTATTATACAGACAACAATCTGCTCTTTCCAATATTATAGACATTACATATTATTATACAGACAACAATCTGTTCTTTCCAATATTATAGACATTATATATTATTATACAGACAACAATCTGTTCTTTCCAATATTATAGACATTATATATTATTATTATACAGACAACAATCTGCTCTTTCCAATATTATAGACATTATATATTATTATACAGACAACAATCTGTTCTTTCCAATATTATAGACATTATATATTATTATTATACAGACAACAATCTGCTCTTTCCAATATTATACACATTATATATTATTATACAGACAACAATCTGCTCTTTCCAATATTATACACATTATATATTATTATACAGACAAAAATCTGCTCTTTCCAATATTATAGACATTATATATTATTATACCAATCTGATTAAAATACAGATCTATATTTAGTTTCGTTTTCCTTATACTTTCAATGGCCTCTACTACATGAAGATCTGATCAGTTATACTGGGAGGTCGTGTCAGGTGTGGTACGTGCGGAGTTGGCCCTATGACGTCATACATTGATTAATCAATCAGCGTTGACGTTTCTAGAGGTTTACCCACAATTACCTAAAATTTAAATTATAAAAAACGGAACGAAATAGAATCTGATTAATAACAACTCTCCCAGGTCCTAATATAATAAAGACAAATAAAACAAAAATTTAAACGATAAAAAACGAAACGAAATAGGATCTGTGTTTTTATCCGATTGTTATTATACCTACCACCATGAGCTCTCTCCAATATTCTAACGGTGTTGATATGAAACTCATGTAGTAAATCTATACACCACCACGCTGTTAAGCCAGCCCAACTTGAAGTATTGACACCAAGATTAATCGTACTCTGTCGTGTTGGTTTATTAATAGCAACATTAACGGCACCTGGAAACAAGACACAGTAATAAAGACTGAGAGAGAGGGAGAGAGAGAGAGAGAGAGAGGGAGAGAGAGAGAGAGAGAGAGAGAGAGGGAGAAGGAGAGAGAGAGAGAGGGAGAGGGAGAGAGAGAGAGAGAGAGAGGGAGAGGGAGAGAGAGGGAGAGAGAGGGAGAGAGGGAGGGAGAGGGAGAGAGAGAGAGAGAGGGGGGGGAGAGAGAGGGAGAGAGAGAGAGGGAGGGAGAGGGAGAGAGAGGGAGAGAGAGAGAGTTTATTAATAGTGATATAGCATAGATATTATTTTTTAAATTTAACATGACAGTAGCAAATCTCTTTCATCGTCATCGTTATCTTACAACTTGACCACAGTTCAGTATGACACTTTAGTTTACATAATATAGTATACGTGTATCACTTATGGTACACAATTTATTAAATAATACCCATGAAATGTTAACTTAACCTATTAGGATGTTGAAATGATCTTGCGACTATCTCTTAGTCAAAGGGTTAATCTTTGTAAATTTATCTATAATCCTCTTACAGATAATTTAGTTCCATGTAAACTTCTGAACTGATGATAAGGTTTGCTTTAGAACTGATGATAAGGTTTGTGAGAACGTGAAAGATCCTCTAACTAATATTACCGAGCTACACCCAAACTACATAACGTAAATTAACCAATTACTTAGCGAACGGATGCACTTTCTCAATAGCAACATTGATGGCACCTGGAAACAAGAACCATAGATTACAATACTAATGACGCTGTGATTATTGGGCTCGTATTGGGATATATTTGAGTGAAGTCTCTAGGGTGTCATGGTGGCTAAGTGGATAAGACGCTGGCTCACTAGCCTGGACGTTGGGTTTCCGATCCAGATATTCCGGCGTGGTTTTCCCTTGTCAGTGATGCAGGACGGAGGGCCTGGTGGGACGAAAAAACCAGGTCCCCTGTGTACATTGGTGGGCATGTAGAAGATCCCTTGACAGCTGGAATTTGATATAAGAGTAGGCCGCAGTGCCGCTGTCCGGGCAAAATTTCTCTCACAACACATGGTATGGCGTTTGCCCGTCTTCATTAGCCCAGTTCGGAGCAGAACAGTTCGTTTCTTTAAGAGTGTATCAGTACAGACTCGGGACCGTACAGTGCAGTTAAAGCTTACAGCTTGTCTCGGGATCCGTTCACTTGATCTGAAATGTGCGTTTGTTGTTTGGGGTGTCTGTGTTTATTGTGTCCTGTCCGTAGGTTTGTCTTGTGTAATTTAAAAAAAAATGTGCGCTCGAGATAATCTCTGTGGTATTCCGCGCGAACAAAATTTCGGTCGCGATCGCGTTCACCATCAGTATAAACGACTTCATTGAAACAGTAGTCAAGCAGACCCTAATTGCTATTTCAATGAAGTCGTTTATACTGACGTCGAACGCGAACGCGGTAGAGATAACCTCGAAGTTCGAGGTGACGTATACGTGGCAGGTGAATCGAGACGGCTTCGCCATTCCAGGTGTCAAGACAAGTTAGTGAACGATGATTCGCGCTGAAAATCGCAGACGGTCGTGGTCCCCCACCCCCGGGATCAGTCAATTTATATTTTATTTCAGCAGTAAAGATTCTTAAGACATCACTAAATTAAGTAATGTGGATACCAAACAAAATGGGGGAATTTTTGCCTGGACAGCGGCGTTACGGCCTACTCTTAATTCCAATACCAACTGTCAAGGGTTTTTTTTACGTGCACGAAAATGTGTACACGGGACCTCGGTGTTTCGTCCCACCCGGACGACTAGACAGCTGTCCTTGTCAGGCCCTCCGTCCTGCATCACTGACAAGGGGGAAACCACGTCGGAAAATACCGAATGGTTTACACCGGGAGCGAACCCGAGGCCCCCCAGGATAGCGAGCTAACGTCTTAGGCAGTGTAGCTATCAAATAAAATAAGTTATTTTGAGATAATTAAGAATGTTTTACACTTACCAAATATACAGATAACTTGACTTGCAACAAAGAGAAATATGAAAATCTTGTCGGAAGACATCATCATATGTTTATCCAAGTAAACAAAAATCAACTGTTATATATGGAAGTATTTTAAGGGGTCAACGTGATAATTAAGTAAAGTAATGTTGTTATTGTAATTATAGCCATATTTTAATTACATCTCCAGATAACGTCTGATACGACACGTGAAAGTGAGAGAGAGAGAGAGAGAGAGAGAGAGATTGAGAGAGATAGAGAGAGGGTGGAGGTCATATCGGGACTAACATATTGTTCAACTTTATTTTAATAATTCGCTTGCGCGTAGGGGTCTTTATAAGCAGTAAGAGGAAACTGGAGGACCCGGAAAAACCCACGAGGTTAGACAGGCAATCCTACTCCTTGTCCCACAGAAACATTTATATGCTTGTCATTTACAGTATTTGGTATATAAATGAAAAATGAAATGGGGTTTTACGTCCTGCTTGTCTTCCCCGATTGGGCTAATGAAGACGGGCATACGCCATACAGTATGATATGAGAGAAATTTGGCCCCGATAGCGGGACTACGGCCTACTCTTATATCGAATTCCAACTGCCATGTGGTCTTTTATTTGCACGCCATTATCAACACGAACGACTAGCCATGTCAGAGCCTTCGTCCTGTTGGTATATATGGAAAATATAGAAAAATACTGGATGCCCTGAAAAACACCTCCAGTTTCCCCCCACTGCTAAAGACCCTGCGCGCAAGTGAATTATTGAAATAGAATTGAACAATGTGTTAGTCCCGAAATGACCTAGTTTGTGTCGAGTGGACGTTAAACCCCTATTTATTTTACACCCGTGTCTTTATTAGTCCAACTTAAATTACCCAAGGGACGCCCAATAATATCAGGTTGTGGCAGCGAATCAAACAACGTATCACAATATATAAACCATTTCTTATTACCCATAGCAAGCCAACACCCATCCTACCTTAAAGACACTAGCCATTTTATTCATAAAATCAAACAGTTAAGAGTCCCTGGGCACACCATTTTAGTATCCATCGACGTACAGAGCATGAACATCGTAGTTGAAGCAGTTAAGAAAGCATTTCTTTGGAACCCGCAAGCATCCAGACCGGACGAAGAAATCCTCAAATTACTCGATATTTGTCTGAGGAGGAATGACTTCGCTTTCAACGACCAAGTATACCTCCAGTCTTCCGGAACTGCGATGGGAAAACGATTTGCTCCGAGTTATGCAAATCTCTTCTGGTGGAGTGGGAAAGGGATTTCTATGGACGTTTTTTAGATGACGTTTTTATAATCTGGACGTACACACTACACGAATTTTGGAAGATTTTCAACATTCTGAACAATCATCATGCATCTGTCAAATTAACCGCAAATTGAAGTCATAACAGAATAGATTTCCTTGAAACTACCGTTTTTAAATGTAACAACACCAAAAACACTGGTCAATTGGAAACTAAAGTATATTTCAAAGAAGTCGACAAGCATCAATTATTGTTCAAGAGCTCCTTTCACCCAAAGTAAACCTTCTTTGGCATCATAAAATCTCAGATTCTCCGTGTCCATAGGATATGTACTCAGAAAACCGACTTTGAGTCAGCATGTACGCTGGTGTTTAGCAAACTTAGAGATACTCCAAACGCTATCTCCGAACTTTAAAAGAAACACTCTAGCTGAACTTGCCGCCAAAGAAACAAATAATATGCAATCAGTAATTAAAATCAAAACTTGTGGCCACCCAAAATGTCAAACATGCAAAATCATAGACATATCCGACCATTTCCATAACAAAACATCTGGCACACAATTCCCAATATTAGACCAACTTTCATGCAGTAGTTCAAACATAATTTATCTAATTTCATGCAGAAAATGTGACAAGCAATACGTAGGGGAGACTCAAAATGCAATTAGGGAAAGAATTAACGGCCACCGGTCAGACATAGTCACAAAAAAAGACAAACCTGTCTCAATTCACTTCAACCAACAAAATCATGACATTTCTGATCTCATTGTCACGCCAATAGAAAAGACCAAGAGCGACTTTGAAACTACAGAAGAAATTAAAACGTTTAGGATAACAAGAGAATAATTCTGGATTGATAAATTGATAACAACAGCCCCCACCCCCGTCTGAATATTCACACGACTAGCGCAATAGCCCCTTGTGTAGTCCCAGTTAGCGCAACAGGAGCAAGTGCATGCAAAATCATCAGAAAACACTATACTGATCTCCAGGAAAATCACCCCAAAATGTTTCATCATCCTAGGTTAGTGCTGACGTAGCCTCTCCCTCAAATTCTTAAACCTAACCCATTCTCCACACATAAAGAGATTATAAGAGTTCGAAAATAGATGATGTAAAATGAATAATTTGAAAATTTCATTCAAATTACTCTATTGCGAGCGAAGATATTAGCCTTTGAAGTTTTGACAAGATGTGTGCAATAATTTCAACCACCGTATTGGTTGTTCGAAGCTATGTCTCGCTCCTCCATTTTTAGCTTAAATCAAAACATGGCTGAACTGCTCTAACCTATTTAACATCGGAGAAATCCAATGTCATCGAGCGTTTATTATGGTCTGGATAAGTTAATTAATGTCTAATTAATAATTTAGATAACATTTCAATCCTAAAGAAAGACATGGGGTAGGCAGATTTATCTCTTGTATAATGCATGTTTAATTAACCCCTATCTCTCTCTTTATCTTGACCCAAGCTTAAAGGTACCCAAATTAATTATTTAACATTTAATTAGGAAAACAGAATCAAAATATCTATTGTAGGAAATCTACAACCGGGATTCAATGGAAATAGAAATGAGCCCACCGCAAGTGTCAAGAGAATACGCCCACGCAACCGCTTTGTCTCATCTGAAAGCTTATCTGATAGGAAAACTTGTTTGTTGAGACAATTTGATGACTACGGAACGGAAAGTCACAGCACGTTGTAAATCAATAGAGTGTGTCATGTCCAATGCTTTCCACCAAATGTGTCTTGTGTCAGTCTTGGCATCTTAAATGGGAATCTGGGAGGTCGAGTGGTCTAATGCGTGCGCTTTAGATCTACGATCTGTCATTGATTCAAGTGGCTTGGTTTCGAATCCCCGCTTTAGATCTAAAATCGTTCATTGAGTCAAATGGCTTGGTTTCGAATCCCCGCTTTAGATCTAAGATCGTTCATTGAATCAAGTGGCGTGGTTTCGATTCCCCGCTTTAGATCTAAGATCTGTCATTGAGTCAAGTGGCGTGGTTTTGAATCCCCGCTTTAGATCTAAGATCTGACATTGAGTCAAGTGGCTTGGTTTCGAATCCCCGCTTTAGATCTACGATCTGTCTTTGAGTCAAGTGGCGTGGTTTCGATTCTCCACTTTAGATCAAAAGATCTGTCATCCAGGTCTAACAATTTTTGAGTAATCGCGGAAAAGTACTTTCAGGTTAATTGCTCGTTGTCTTATGGTTGATAAGACAGGCAACCCTACTTCTTGTCACGTACAACCGGCGAATCGAAACCACGCCAGTTGACTCAATGACAGACCTGATGATACAACGCGCACACGCTAACCAACCATTCGGCCATCCAACCACCCACCCCACCCCCGCCCCACAGACAACAGGCAGAAATGGGGTTTAACATTCTATTTTTGCACCAACCGGGATAATAAAGCAGGGCACAAGAGCGGATGTAGCAGAAAAGTAGGACCTTAAACCCCATATCACTTCCTTAAATATACATTATGCAAAAACTAAATCTGCCTATTACAGGTCTTTCTTTAGAACTGAAATGTTATATAAATTATTAATTAGACATTGATTAACTTATCCGGACCATAATCAACTCTCGATGGCATCGCTAGCCTGCGATGTTTTGTGGATTATGACCCGATTTACTGCATAACTTCCCTTCACGATTTAATCAATAAATGTATAATCGAGACTATGCTTTTTATCGTATTGACTCTAGTAAAGATGATAGAGGCTAGGGGAAATTTCAATCGCTAAAATCTCGGTTCAGAGTGGATCAATTTGATAGAAATTGTCAGCATATTCTCTTTACATTTTCTAGTTTTTAACTATTATAGTGAGCACTGTCAGTTCTTTATCTAATATCCCATAATGTATGTTTAATTGTTGTTTATTGCTTGCAATGTCCGTGTAGTTTGTAGTGATGTCATCTTGTTATTATTTGTTATTGTAGTACGGAGTGAAGTTGTGTGTCGTAGATATGGTCAAGAGGTCAATTGTACATTATTTGATTTTCAGATCAGTGAATACAGTAAATATCTGGTTAAAGGTAAATATGTTTATTTCCTTTTCTATTATAATTATATATATACAGGATATCTCAGTAATGAACAGAAAGTTTATTATTTGTACAAAGCAAAATAATGTCACGTTTGTTACTCAATGTCCAAAGGATTTACATTATTTCTCTGATGACTTTGAATGTCTTCCATCAAATCGAGATGCAAGTCCCCCCAAAATAATTTTAAAAAAAGTTCTTGGCATGATTAATAATATGCTAGTGTGATAAATCACGGCAGTTAATTTCATCTAGCATGTAAAGATGTTTTATTTGGAAATTCCCAGTAGCCCCAGAAGATATATTTACAAAATTTATCCTCCAACATTTGTATCTTAAAAACTAATTGTAAAAAAAGTCACATTTTAAAGATACGTTATGTAAGATGATAAAGGGCTGGTTGTTCTTGCTATAATACTTAACAAATAGATAATGCAAAATGAATATATTGAAAATTTCATTCAAATTACTTTATTCTGAGACAAGATGTAGCTTAGTTTGTTTATTATTGTAACAACGGTACTCGTTATTCGAGACTTAGCCTCGATTCGCCCTTTTTAAATTAAATTATTAAATGGCGGTCGAGTTGATATAGGTTTGTCATGTGAATAAATGTCTAAATAATAACCTATATAACATGTGAAGCCAAAATAAGACAGATTCGGCTCTTAAATAATACTTCTTTAACTGTTCTTTATAGAATAAATCACCTCTTAATATTACATCGTGCACCATTGGCTATACTCTTAAAGGAGTCAAACTTCTAATTCAACAATTTTCATAATATTTCAAATTAAAAAAACCGAATAAGTCCATTTCAATCATTGCTGTTGTTGTTATCTTGCTGTGATGGGATCCTAATATCCATTATTTAAGAAGCGATGAACATTTCACAATCCGTATAGTTCCGGGCACCATTTGTAATGAACTTGGAAAAAATATTCGACAAGATTAACTTAAAATTACATAAATTCTTTTACAAAATAAAAAAAAAATAACTTGATACACATTCATATTATATAAATATGTGCATTTTGACCCAATTCCGTCTTTCTATAATTCCAATGAATAAAGCCATGTACCAATTAAGAACAAATTGAAAGTAGGGTTATTGTAAAAGCTTAATTGTTCTTCATAGAACCATTCACTTGTATTATATAATTATATGTCCTTTCTTCAGTTGTAATATTCTTTCTATTTTTAGTATTAATTTTTCCTATGTATACCCTTTTTTTCAATTATTCTTTTTAGTTGTGTTAACCCTTCCTTTATTGTGATATTCTTTCAGTCTCTATTTAATTTAATATCCTTCATGGCTATATATATGTTGCAATATTAATACTACTAATTAATCATTTCCGATTCCCTTTCATAGAATATCCGAAACCTTCCAATATTGAAACATATTTGGGTATTTTTCAATAGCACGTGTATTTGACTTATTGTAAGATTTTGAGTTAATTTGAAACGTCTTATACAGATAGTGATTTAGAATTGAATCCTGGATATTCTTTCTGACGGGTAAATCAGCCATATTTTAGAATATTATATTCACTTTAAAGTCTCTAGCGTGAAGGCATTAAAAACTAATGTCAAATTAATTATCTCCATTCAACCTGTTGTCACTTTGGGGTAAATTATTATGTTATTATTATCAATTTCAAGTGTAATTTTATCGTAAAATAGTAATTAATTTTTAGAAGAATTTCATATGTATATTTTATTTATTGTAACATGTGATGATGAATATAAGAAAAATATTGAACGTAAAAATAAATACAAATAAATATATTAATCGGTTTACGTGTAAAACAATTTCAAGCATACACTAAAATCTTGTTGAAGATTAAGACTCTGTATACACTGCCAACTGACCAGGTGCGATGTTGGTGAAAAAGTTGATAGTGTGTACAGTTCGGAAACATTCGGTGACATTCGGCAACATGTTGTCCAAATGTTGCCGAAATAAATACCAAATCAGTTTTGTTGCCGAGATGCTAATGATGTGACCGAGTTTTATCCAATCAGAAATGGGCTATAAATCACATGATATACCTGGGGTCAAGTGATGTAGACAAAATGGCAGCTACCAGCAAGGAATGGTTGTTAAGTTGCCCAACATTTTGTCGAACTGTTGCCGTGTGTATACAGGGCCAATTTTTTGTTGCCCAGGTGTGTTGCCGAGATGTTTCCGAAAATGTTACTGAAAATGTCGGCAGTGTGTACAGAGCTTAACAGGGTCCATGTCCAAATATGGAGTTGCTACGCACCTATGAATAAGCTCACATGAAGCTTGGCAATAGAAGCAATAACGCACCAGTGTCTTGCGATTTTGTCAAAGGTGTAAAAAATCCATCACAAATGAAATAAAATGGGGTTTGGCGCCCTGGTTTCCTTCACCCCAGGGCTCCTGAAGATGAAAATACTACGTGCAGAGTGCGTTGGAGGACATTTTGACCGGGCTGTAACGTTTCCTAATTTTTTTACAGACTCTGGTGGGCCTCGGTATTTTGGCCTTGCCAGTCCTACTGCCCATTAACACTGACGGGGGAAATAAGACTGTATACGCGAGCTAGATCGGTAAACACGCGATTGATTGCATATTCGATTTTTGTATTGTCACACTGCCCCCCTCATTTCAGTCTTGTTACCGTGTGTTCTGTGAATTTAATTCTGTGTGTTGTTGAGAACTGACCTTTAAGACCAATCTGATTAAAAAAACAGATCTATATTTCTTTTTTTTATACTTTCGATGGTCTGTCTACACTACATGAAGATCTGACCGGTTGTAGTGGAAGGTCGCGTCAGAGGTCATACGAGCCGCGACTTTTGACCCCATGACGTCAGACATTAGGAAGATCTCGGTGTGCCGCGGACCAGTGTACGTTGAGAGTCATTGTTCTAGTGGGTTACCCACAGTTCCGTGCAGCTTACGCCAAGAACTCGCCGTAACAGACCGTTTCATTGGCTAATCCCCCACATTATCCAGAACGCGGGTTATATAACAACTCTTCCAGATCCTAGTGTAGTAAAGACAAGAAAAACGAAATTTTGAACTATAAAAAACGAAACGAAATAAGATCTGTGTTTTAATCAGAGTTGAGATAAGACATGCTTCTTACCAGGATAAGAGATCGAGAGAGACAGAGAGGATTTGACTTCTGCGTCATATAGTTCAATCTACGTCATATAGTTCAATCTACGTCATATAGTTCAATCTAAATTCAATAATTCAGATAGTAGAGAGAGAGACAGAGGGGGGGGGGGTAACGTCCACTCGACACAAACCAGGTCATTTTGGAACTTACACATGGTTTAATTTTTTTTCAATAATTCACTGGCGCATACGGGTTTTTAGCTGTGGGAGGAAACCGACGGACTCGGAGAATACTCCTTGTTACGTACATGCTTCGAACCTAAACCTTGCTTTGTGATTCAAAAACAAACCTTATGATCTAAAGTACCCGACCAATCAGCCACCCAAACCCCTTCGAGTTGGAGATATAAATGAAATGAAATGAGGTTTAATGCCAGAGGCAAGAGGAAACCCTGTATTTAGAAAGCACCACACCCTACTAAAATGGAAAGTTTACATAGCAAGGTAATAGTTTCGAATAGATTGTACCTGGGCCGGTTGGCAGTTGGTGTCTACACTTGGGCTGGTAGTCTGTTCGTTTGTTGGCGGTTGGTGGTTAGACCAGGGCTGGTAGTTTGTTTGTATTTTTGCTGTTGCTGGCTGATATTTGGGGTATAGGGACAGCTCTTGCAGTGGGGGTTGCATACGTACATTGGCATGACACTGCAACTTTCAATTATGTGGTTTAAAGTAAAATATGTCCGAATCAAACAATACAAGAGATAAAATATCAATGACAAATTTGACGATTATTATTTTTATACAAAAAAAAATACAAAAAAACAATACCGATAAGCGAATATTTAATAAATTAAATGAATAGGAGACATGTCTTTAAATGATATTTAAAATAGAAGCCTTCTCGTAATATCAACAGTTATAGCATTTCTTCATTTCGTTGTAAATTTTCCGGTAGTTCTAATTTTTACTATACAATAATAGACAATACGCGGGAAATATTGGAATCCCGATCATCAACTCGCATTATTCCTATTTTTGGCGTTCGCCTTTCCCCGCTTTGGGAGAATCATAGACATAGGGAAAATGCCCCACTGCTGACAAAAATCGCCCACTACTTTTTTTCGGTGGGCGGGGTAGAGGGGGGGGGGGTTGTAAACAATTTTTTTTAAATATATGAAAGCGAATCAAGGAACAGGCATAGCCTATATCACACCTCTACTCATACAAGGAATATAAAACATATCATAAACTGTTTTGTACATGTTATGAAATAATGGGGAAAAATCATATAAAGAAAATAAGTTATATACACAAAATTCATAACAAATGAAAAAGCGGAAGTGCTTGTTTATGACATTATCATTCATTATTCAGAAAATAAAATCTCTTTAAATATTAAAACGACTGGTGACATCAAAGTATATAAAACATCTAAACAGATATGCTATGTACATACTATAAAATAATGGTGAAAAACATATAAAGTAAATAATTTATATACACACTATTTATATCAAATGAGAGAAGATGAGATGGTTTATAAAATGATTAAAATTGATAAACTGATGGAAGTGATTTAATTGATTACTCTTGTAATGGTAAAAGATTTATTGATTTTTTTCTTGCACCCGAGGAGAAAATGTTAAGAATCTTCAAATCGACGACTGTAGCTGCCAGTGTCGTTACAATTTATGTCCATTTAGGTCGACACGAGAAAGCCACAGTCTTCTATGTATGATCTAATTCTCTCTTTTGCCATTTAAAGCGGAAATTGCAAATTTTTAAGTTATATTTTTAAAATTTATTAAAATAAAGCCTGAAAATAGATGGTATCCATAAACAGTCCTACCTTGTTAAAGAATAATCCTATTAATCCTATAATTCACTATTGCCAGCTGAGAAATTGGCAAAAATATCATTTTCCTCTTCAAATTCAAACGTTTGAAGATAGCTACTCCATGGTGGAGAATAGGAAACAAGGGAGGTAATTGGGAGGTAATTGTGTTATTATTTCCTGTGTAAATGAGTTTTAAGTGTGAGAATGACACCTATGATCGTATAATTGTGAGTTGAAAACCTATTGAGAAAAAGACATAGAAATAATTACGTTTTGACTTTCTTAGAAAATTTGCAATTTCCGCTTTAAAACGGCGAAATTCAGATATTGAGATCCAATTTGTTCAATTCTTTAGTTGAAGAAGGTCCGAAAGATTTGTTTTTTGTCGATAGTTTGTTCATCCAGTGATTTCGTAAGTTTGACGATGTGGTTGTGTGTATTGAGATAAGACTCAATGACCCTGGCTCTTGTTCGAGAGTGGTAGATAGATGTTCGGTTGGTGGTCCATAGTAAGTTCATCCAGTCCGTCGTAGTCGGAGGAAGTAGAGGTATATAGCGTGTTTACATGTTCTCCAGAATCACAAGTGTCTACAAGACTATTACAATGCCTGGTGGTATTATCTCTGGACTGGGAGCTTACTGTGTCATTAACACTGTGTCCATCATTTGCTGAAAATAAAACAAAATTGAACTAAATTACCCGATCACCATTTCATAATCAATATACCCACCCACCCCTCGCACTTCACAAGTTCGTATGAACACGAATAAATATCCTTTACTTTCGCCAATATACCGGAAGGTCAATTTACATTCATTTCTCTGCACACCAAATGAGAAGTGATATTCGGAGTTCTAGAAAGATACGCCTACGTTACATCGTGCACGACAACAATCTCTGTACCAAACTGTGGAATTATATTTGACCTTGTTGGTCGCGTGTTGCCAATAACGTCGTTTGGTAGAAGTCTTTAGGGTTCAGCATGACCCCCGTCTTATTTAGCCAGGTTGGTGCGGAAACGCAGAACGTTACAACCCACTTCCTTTCATTTCAGATTGACCCCAACAACAGAGGTGATTCTTTGTCTAGGAACCAAGAAAGATATAGCAAACTTACACGTGATGGCATCTCTTCTCTTCTTGATACACCATATAATAACAAATAACATAGCGGAAACAACCAGACCAATACCAACACCTATAGCTATACCAACTCCTAGCTTGTCATCGACAGCTTCCTTTACATCGTCTTCGTTAGAGATCACAGATAGTGTGTACGTCTTGGAGGTGGCACCCAGACTATTGGTAATTTTAACTGTATAAATACCCCCATCTTCGTATCTAATATTGTGTATAGTTAATGTTGATGACAGACCATCATCTGTCTGTTTGATTCTAGAACCTGTAACCGTGGTAACTGGTTGTTGACTGCCATCTTGTTGGTGATAATACCAGACGAATGCCGGAAGTGGATAAGCTAAAACGTTCATTGGTAATATAACCGTTTCTCCGCGTGGTACAACTATAGCATCCTTAGTTATAACAACTGGGGCACCTAAAATATTACAACAATTTGTCAGTAAAAATGTAAACTAATGTTGACTCGGTGCTGGCGGTTGACAATACTTTCAGAATCATTGTGACCAAATATAATTTCTCCAGTTAATATCCTGGGTATCAGTGTCCACCGTAAACCCATGAGATAAATGAAATGAAATAGGCTTTAACGTCCTACTGTTCTGCTCCTATCGAGCTAATGAAGACGGGGAAGTCATGAGCTAACTCGACGAACACCAGTTACTGAATAGGACAGTATACCAGAAGATATCCGATCAAAATACTGATTATGTTCGTGCAATTACACACCTTTCACTGTATCGCAAGTGTGACGTAAGCCAAGCTAATGCTAGGTTCCCACTACGATTGAAATCATGGTTTTAATCGTGGAGTAATCTTGGAGTGATTCATTAGGTCTTATCATATATGGTGTTCAGTCGTAGCCATCGTGTTGATCGCATCAAAACGTATCTGAACGTATCTGCACATACTAAATCGTGGACTCAATGGGGATAATCATTTCGTAACGCATCGCGAGACAATGGAAACCTACCATTACAAGGGATAACTCTATGCAAACCCAGTTTGACGAAAGACAAACAGTTACTGAATTGAACTGTATACCAGAGGATATCATATTGCAAGCCCCGCTTACTGAATTTTATAGTATACAATGTATACTTACATTTAACATAGAGTGGAATAGTTTTAGATACAGGTTGACCAATATTATTACTAGCTGTACAGGTATAGTTATCTGTATGTTGACAACTAGCTTTAGGTATGGTATATTGACTACCAGAATAGAGTTGTCGCTCTTGTTGTGATCTGGACCAGGATACTTGCGCCACTGGGATACTTTCCACCAAACAGTTCATAATAACGCTTACGTTTTTATCTATTATGTTGTCAACAGCATTAGATAATAACGATTTTATTATTGGTTCAACTAAAAGATATACACAACAAAATTAATATTAAAAAAACAAAAACGCGCCTTCCCCTACGTCCCTGATAAAGAAGCTTCGTATACATGTTATTTCCTAATATTATCAAAATAAAACCCCCCAAAAAACCAAACAATTTTTTGATATCAATTTGATCAAATAAGCTCATTGTTATCAACATCTAAATGCTATTGGAATATACAGATTTATATTTCGTTTCGTTTTATTTTTATACTTAAATGGCGTTTACTACATGAGAATATACAAATTTTCAATTCAGCTTATATTTGTAAATACTGGGCGGAACTGAATCAATTTTGGACTGATCCTACAATATTGCAGATTGCAAGTGGTGGTGTGGGGGGGGGGGTGCATGCACGGTGGCATTGTGGGTAACACGCTGGCTCGCTAACCTGGAGGTCGCGAGTTCGATCCCTGCATTGGCCGAGAAAGTTCATCGAGATTTTCTTACCTGGTTTCCCCTTGTCAGTAGTCTAGTCATTCGGATAAGACGAAAAACGAGGTCCCGTGTATACATCGGCGTGCACGTAAAAGATCCCTTGGCAGTTGGCCATAGTGCCGCTGCCCTGTCAAAATACCTTCATAGCACACTACATGGCGTATGCCCGTCTTCATTAGCCCAGTTTAGGAGCAGAATAATAGGACGATAAACCCCATTTCATTTCATTTCATTTCAGATTGCAAGGTATTTAACATGCCTTCAGCTAAGCTCACAACCTGTCGCATGTGCTACTACGGACAGTCTACGGGGAAAGTAGAGACTTTTGCATAGCGGATTTTTTCCCATTATTAGAAACTTGTGGCAAACGAAATTTATCCAATTCGTATTACATATCCGCATCGTCACGTGATACGTTGCGCCAATGTAGTTTTAGAGTTTTGGCAGATTTTACCGCCGCGTACGTATGAGTCGCTGAGCTGAGCTTAGTTCTATTACACGATGATGGCAGCTATCTACCAAGATCACCATCACTGCTAGTCAGGTGTCTGGCCTACAAATTCCTGGAGGGAGTAAAGTCGATCAGACAGTCGCTGAGTTATTAAAAAAGAAACATTTAAAGTCGAATCTTATTAAAAATCTTCGACTTCGACTCGACAGCAATGTTTGGTTTCACTAATGTATCATTTCAGAACGTTTATACCCACCATAGAATCACTTCATTTAGAGATTTGCAAGGTTCCACCGCCCGCAATTTAGCACGTAGATCAACCAGCATGCAGACAGACCGACAGGAAAAAATATCAAAATTCCGAGGAAACCTCATCAACGATAATGATTAAATTCTTTATCATGGTTAAGATCACATCAAATATACCCCTTAGTGTTCTAGGATACACATAAATTCATAAACATGCTATGGCGCAACATTTCAGCGTCTAAAGGTAGCAAAAAAAAAGGTAAAGAAAAAGACGATACTATACGGACCTATTCCGTATGAAAGCTGTTCGATACGTACTACCGTATCCGTGTGTCGTATCACAAATGAGAAATACACACACATTGATGACGTCACACACAAAATTGATACGCATACGCGATACGGACCAGGAATTTACGTTTGCCTAAAGTCTGTAATATTTGAAGATCTCGTGCGTGAGACTTGCGCGTCAGTTGAGTGTGTTAAGCACCTTGGACAATCGCAAACTGGCCATAGAGACTTGTGACAAGTAGTGTGTCCGTACTATTTACAAACATTTCATCCAGTTTCTTGCTGACTTTCTGTGAGCTACCAAACCCTACGACTCATTTTAATTATGTGAATTTCAAATTCATGTTTTCATTTTTGACTCTTTCTAAATTACCCAATATTATGATAAAGGCACCGACCTTTTATTTTTTTCCTACAATATACGTTCCTGTCTCCTTCATGAAACTCAGAGGTCCATATCCAATTGGTTCGCTTGTGATGTGGTTCGTAAGTACTAAAAGCAGCATTCCATTTCCCGTCCTCAAAACTACAAAGAGAGATAAAAGTGGGGTTTAACGTCCACTCGACACAATTAGGTTATTTCGGGACTAACATGGTTCAATTTTATTTTAATAATTCGCCTGTGCGTAGCTCTAGCAGTAACCCAGAGGATCCGGAGAAAGCCATCGAGGTTGGACAGGCGACCCCACTCCTTGTCACGCACAAGCGAGTATTCGAAACCACGCCACATGACTCAATGACAGACCTTACGATAAACCTCTAGACGCCCTAACCCCCAAAATACAAACGAAACGTACACTAGCCCCACTCCTACGAGATTGGGCAATTTCTTTTTGACAAATCAGTGGCATCAAAAGTCGACCCAATCAGCTTTCTTTCCGGGGATCACGTGGCTAAGTGGGTAAGACGCTGGCTCGCTAGCATCCAGATTTTCCGGCGTGGTTCCCCCTTGTCAGTGATGCAGGACGAAGAGCCTGACAAGGACAGCTGTGTGTAGTCGTTCGGATGGGACGAAAAAACCGAGGTCCCGTGTACACATTGGTGTTCACGTAAAAGATCCCTTGACAGTTGGAATTCGATATAAGAGTAGGCCGTAGTGCCGCTGTCCGGGCAAAAAATTCCCTCATAGCACACTGTATGGCGTATGCCCGTCTTCATTAGCCCAGTTCGGAGCAGAACAGTAGGACGTTAAACCCCATTTCATTTCATTTTATTTCAGCTTTCTTTCCGAACATGGTAGCATATAGGCTGTACATAAATAGTTTGGAATCTATTCAGAGGGTCAGAAAAAGTACAAATGAAAAACGTCAGTCATTTCTCGGTCGAGGTCACGGATAAACCGTAGCGAAGATTGTTAATTCGAAATTACATTGGAATCTGAAATGACTGCGGTTTAATGTTCTATATGTCATCATCGACTGTGCTAATGAAGACGAGCATACGTCATACAGTGTGCTATGACGGAAATTGTACCCAGAACTACAGCTTGCTCCTATATCGAATTCCACCTGCCAAGGGTACTTTTATGTGCAAATGTGAAATACTATATGTTTATATAGGTTATTTAAGTTCTCTAAATGGTGTTCTGCTTAATGTGTTGAAGTCGTTACATACAAAAGGGTGACGAATAGATTTTGAATTGTCTGTCTGTTTGTGTTTTCCGGAGTATGATGTCTTGTCCGTGTATTTGTTTTTGTGTAAATTTTGTGTGGTGCAGTCCCCCTGCATTTACTAGTAGACAGACTCCCTGACATTTCTTAATAATAGCTGACGTACCTACACTTTTTATATAAATTAGACCAAGGCGATTATACGGTTCTTTTAGAGATCATTCGGTGTACTTTTCTCATTCGGGATGGGATCAACATACCGCGTTCACAGAGAGACGTACCTTTAGCCACCTCGATTTAGAGGCCGGGCTAGACATCATTTAGAGTGTAACTCTCGCTACATAACCCGCTAAGTGATATGGAACTTAGACTCTAGATTAATGTCATAGCTGTGTGTAGTTTCCTGCATATTACCTTTTATATAAAAATACAGTGTTCAGGAATCTAGTTGACTATTGCAGTAAAATGAAAACACAGCGTGACGTTTATGAAGCCCAGAGTGTGGCACAAGATTATGTCGCACTTATATAGTGACACGCCAGAAAATTGCGTTGGACTTTCTCAGCCAATGTCTTACCCATTGGGCCACTGCGGCTCCTTAAATTTTAATCATATTTTATAAAATATAAAATTCGTTGCCATTAAATGCCTCACCTAACAGCCCCGTCGTGTTTAAACATATACTTAATAACTTACTCCGGTGTACTCCAGTTTTCTTCAAATTTTGCTGAACATTTCCATGATGAGTCCGTTGTATAAGTTTTATTTAAAGTGAAAGTAACATAGATACCGCCATAGCCTCCTCGGTCAACGCAGTGTACTCCAAGAACTGTCGTGTTGTCAGGAAGGTCTATTTGTATTAAATTTGTCCAACTGCTGTCGTTTGCCATTAAAACACCATCGGCGTAGAAATACATGTCGTCATCGCAGGTTGCCTTTGCTACAATCTTGGAATCAACTAAAACAAACAAATGAAATAAAATGGGGTGTAACGTCCTATTGTTCTGTGCCGACTGGGCTAATGAAGACAGGCATACGCCATACAGTGTGCTCTGAGAGCAATTTTGCCCTCACACTACGGCCTACTATTATATCGAATTACATCTGCCAATGTGTACCCGAAACAACTATACAGTGTCCCTTGTCTGCCCCCGCGTTTTAATTCGCTTTTTAATCGATAATAATGAGTTAGGGGTTAAGCTCCTTTAAACTAACCTACAATCCCAAGAAAAGAAGAGGTATATATAACAACTGACCGCAAAGTCTTTATTTTGCTATTTTTCTACTTTGCCATTTAGACATTTATTTACTTGACAAACCCATAAGCAACTCTTTAGAGTGGCGAGATTTAAATGTGGATGAGCACATCCACAAGATTTAAAAATTTAACGCTAAAATGGATAATAAACAACATAAGATCTTCGCTCTAAATAAATTAATTTGAATGAAATTTTTAATATATTCATTTTTCATTATCTATTTTTGAACTAGTATAACAAGAACTGTCAGCTTTTTATCTAAATCTTACAAAATAATCATAATGCATTTAAACTAGTATTGTATCTAAATGTTAAATAATTTCGCTCAGAATAAAGTAATTTGAATGAAATGTGAGCTCGTTATCTAAATCTTATATAATGTATCTTTAACAAAGCTACCACTAATATAATTTACAATAATTATTTTAAAAAGATTATATTACTTACCATCAATAAACGTTGTAATCGCCAATAAATAAAATATATTATATAATCCCCCTGTCGACATCTTGAATATTGTGTTGTGACATCAACCAGGATATAACGTTAATTACTCTCGTCTGTCACAATGTATAACCTGTTATTGTTAAGACCAGGGTCTAACGTGAATTACTCTCGCTGTCATAAAGTATCACATCTAATTAGTAAGACCAGGAAGGTATCTGTTTAATGATCACACAATGAATTAAATTATGCTGCATTATATTAGGGGGTAAACACGTTCCTGGTTCATATCTACATGGGGTCTATTATGCGTTTAGCCACGCTTGAATAATTAGGACACGAGACCCGACAGTATCTTGCTGTTCTCATGGATAATCTAAAGACGGTTGAATAACAATAAACCCCAGGTAAATACGAACCAGGAAGTGTTTATCGATATTGTAACTCAAATATTTAGGGGTTTTCTTAACATATACTAAAATCTTGTGGTATGTAATAAGGGGTCGAATAGACTAAAATATTTGATCAATGGTTTAGTTGAATGTTACATCATTGAGAAGAGGTCTGAGAAATATTAAAAAAAACAACAAAGCTACTCAAATCGCCCAAAAGGGATAGCCATAGCCAGTAACTTATCCGAAAAGCAAATTTAGATGTTGGCCAAAAAAAAGTCAAGGGTCCGTTATGCTTTCAGCACCTTTGATCTATGTCATGTTCGCAAGCTTTTCGTACATTCTAAAACAAACAGTACAGGATCAATAGAGTTCATACTCTAGGATCCCAATGCTTCACATTGTAGTAACAACTTCACAATGTTTTCGGAACAAAGGACATAACTCTGTAGGGTCGCCGAATGTGGAAATTATTATGATTGTTCTCTCGTATGGTGGCTGATAGTGGCCATGTTAAATCTCGCCCTTTTCATAACGCGACAACACGACATCACGACAGTATTGACGCAATCATACGCCACTTTATTCTGTCGTATCATCGTGTTATTTTTATCGTAACGTCGAGATGTCGACTTATTGTCCTAGTCTCTTTCTACAAGTCACAAAAATACAGCTGTACTCATTACATCAGATACATATAAATAGATACATATAAATAAGACTCGTCAAAAGAGATAATAGGAAAACGTTGATTCGTTTTCTAAAAAAAAATGAAACTTTTTGCGCCCAAAATTGAATTATATTTGGTATTATATTCAAAAAATCTAGAATTATAATAGCAGGACAAAAGTGAGTCAGCTATGTTAATTCCTTGAATAAGAAGTGGTGTCGGTAGGTATCGAACAAGTATGCATTGCCTCGTGTACGACACCCACCAATACTTATAGATTACTGAAGCGATAGTTTAGAAGCGATTTCAGAAGATTTCCAATTTATTTTATTAGAGTGGGAAGGGGATTATATAAAACCTCAAATCAGACCACATAAAATCACCGCTTGGTGTAGCACGCCATCCCAATAAGTGCAGGGGAGGTTTTTTATGAGGTGAGGAAAGCGATTTGCAGCTGTTATTGACCTTATCTCATATTCATCCGTTTGGCATCACTAATGGGATCGGGGCCTAGATGATTAAAAATAGGCCCAGTATTGCCTTCAGCTATGAACACACTCCGAAAGTCCTCTACGCACCCCCCCCCCCTCTTATTTTGTTTAACAAATAATTTCGGAATCAATAAAATGGTAGGTCCCTATCAATGATGTTTGATACGACTGGAAATTAATGTGTCTAAAATTGATTAAACAACATAGGGTAGTAAATATTACATTTTGAATCCGTATCAATGATACATTTACTCAAAATGGATCACCATTTAATTTGAAAACAAGGGAAGCAGCCGATCGAAGAAAAAAAGATTTTAAAAAACAAGTTTCAATATGATAGTAGTGGTTCGGTCATGCATTTACACCTGTGGGTGTCATCCTTTCTTTGAAAGTAATGATTGTGCCAGATTTGAACAAAGTCCATCTAGATTCGCGGCCTGTAGGTAAAGTGTTGACAGATAAAACGTAAAAAAAAAAACCAGACCTATAAAAATATATTTTCTAAAACTATTTTAATTTTGAAATTATATTATTTTCACATGTGCTAAGTGTTTTAGTGAATAGTTATAGAAAGGGTCTTGTAGATTAAGACTATAGCGCATGTGCACTGTGCAGTTTTAAACTTCCGAGACGACAAGTCGACAAGTCGATGATACGACAGTTTCGCTTTTTGTCGTGCCGTCGTATCATCGACTTGTCGTGGCGATAAGTCGATGATACGACGGCACGACAAAATCGGGTCGATGACACGACAAAATCACGCGATCTTACGACAGTTTGTTCTGTCGTAAGATCGCGTGATTTTGTCGTAAGATCGTGTGATTTTGTCGTGTCGTCGTATCATCGACTTACAGTGGCGATAAGTCGATGATACGACGGCACGACAAAATCACACGATCTTACGATAAAATCGGGCGATCTAACGACAGAACAAACTGTCGTAAGATCGTCTGATTTTGTCGTATCATCGACCTTATTTTGTCGTGCTGTCGTATCATCGACTTATCGCCACGACAAGTCGATGATACGACGGTACGACAAAACACTAAACTGTCGTATCATCGACTTGTCGTCTCGGAAGTTTAAAACTGCACATGCGCTATAGTCTTTATCTACAAGACCCTTCCATAAATATTCGCTAAAACACTTAGCACATGTGAAAACAATATAATTTCAAAGTTAAAAGAGTTTAAGAAAATATATTTTTATAGGTCTGGGGTTTTTGTTTTTGTTTTTTTTTTACATTTGATCTGTCAACACTCTACCTACAGGCCGCGAATCTAGATGGAATTTGTTCAAATTTGGCACAATCATTACTTTCAAAGAAAGGGTGGCACTCTCGGAGGTAAATGCATGACCAAAGCACTACTGTCACATTGAAACCTGTTTTTTTTTTTTTTTTAAATCTGTTTTCTTCGATCGACTGTTTCCCTTGTTTCAAGTTAAATGATGATCTATTGGAAAGAACGTATTGAGTAAATCTACGCTATCACTAATACGGATTCAATATGTAATCAATGTTATACATGTTATTTTTCAGTCGTATCAAACATCATTGATATCATTTTATTGATTCTGAAATTATTTGTAAAACAAAATAAGAGACGTGGGGGAGGGGGGGCGTATGAGGCTATCATAGTGTGTAATCATCTAGGCCTCGATCCATTGTTTTTGGTGCTTGATATTTTGCGGGGGAGTCGCAGTGTCTAGGCAGGTAAGACGTTGGGTCGGTAACCCGAAAGCTGGGTGTTCGATCCCTTCATTGGACGAGAAAGTTCATCCAGATTTTCCGACGAGGTCTTGTCAGTTGTGCTGGACAGAGGGCCTGGCACGTAAAATATCCCTTGGTAGTTGGAATTCGATATAATGGTAGGCCATAGTGCGCTGTCCTGGCAAAATTTCGCTCATAGTATGGCGTATGCCCGTCTTCAATATGACAGTAGTGGTTCGGTCATGTATTTACACCCGAGAGTATCATCCTTTCAGAGGATCGCGTGGCTACGTGGGCAAGACGCTGGCTAGCTAGCCTGGAGGTCGGGTGTTCGATCCCACACTGATCAGAAGTGAATATTCGCTAGGCCTCTGATAAGGATGACATCGATGCAACTTAATGAGTCCCCAATATTAACATTATTCCTCCGACAAATTTAATTCTAAAACATTTTTTTTTTATGTATTAGAAAAATAAATAAAGACACTTGAAGTATTTGTAGGTAAAAAATATTTCCTATGTAGCGTAAGTGGGTATTAAAATGAGTAAAAGGCATCATTCTACCCGAAGCAGTTACGTCTTATATAAACAATGCACGCGCCATTGGTCCAATGATTGACACCGCGTGACGTGATTGCATGTGTTGAAAACAGTCATCTTTTACAGAGATATTAGACGACTTTTTTCACAGATTGGTTCGATCCCTGCATTCGCCGACAAAATTCATCAAGATTTACCGGCGTGGTTCCCCCTTGTCAGTGATGCAGGACGGAGGGCCTGACAATGACAGCTGTCTAGTCGTTCGGATGGGACGAAACACCGAGGTCCCGTGTACACATTGGCGTGCACGTAAAAGATCCCTTGGCAGTTGGATTTCGATATAAGAGCGGGCCGTAGCGCCGCTTCCCGGGCAAAATTCCCTCATAGCACACTGTATGGCGTATGCCCGTCGTCTTTAGCCCAGCTTAGGAGAGAACAGTAGGACGTTAAACCCCATTTCATTTCATTTCATGCCATCCTGTCTTTGAAAGTAATGATTATGCCAAATTTGAACATCTAGTTCCGCAGTCTGTAGTTATACCAGAGGGTTGACAGATAACACCTTAAAAAAACAGATCTATGAAAATATATTTTCTAAACCTTTTTTTATTTTGAAATTATATTGTTTTCACATGTGCTAAGTGTTTTAGCGAATATTTATGGAAGGGTCTTGTAGATAAAGACTATAGCGCATGTGCAGTTTTAAACTTCCGAGACGACAAGTCGACAAGTCGATGATACGACAGTTTAGTGTTTTGTCGTACCGTCGTATCATCGACTTGTCGTGGCGATAAGTCGATGATACGACAGCACGACAAAATAAGGTCGATGATACGACAAAATCAGACGATCTTACGACAGTTTGTTCTGTCGTAAGATCGCCCGATTTTATCGTAAGATCGTGTGATTTTGTCGTGCCGTCGTATCATCGACTTATCGCCACTGTAAGTCGATGATACGACGACACGACAAAATCACACGATCTTACGACAAAATCACGCGATCTTACGACAGAACAAACTGTCGTAAGATCGCGTGATTTTGTCGTGTCATTAAGACTATGGCGCATGTGCAGTTTTAAACTTCCGAGACGACAAGTCGACAAGTCGATGATACGACAGTTTGGTTTTGTCGTATCATCGACTTGTCGACTTGTCGTCTCGGAAGTTTGAAACTGCACATGCGCTATAGTCTTAATCTACAAGACCCTTTCTGTGACTACATGTATTCGCTGAAACACTTCGCACACGCGAAAACAATATTATTTCAAAATATTATTTCTTTGGGTTTTTTTACGTTTGATCTGTCAACACTCTACCTATAGGCCGCGAATGTAAACTGACTTTGTTCAAATTTGGCACAATCATTACTTTCAAAGAAAGCATGACACTCTCGAATGTAAATGCATGACCGAATCACTACTGTCATATTGAAATGTGTGTGTTTTTAAATCTTTTTCTTCGATCGCTGCTTTCCTTGTTTCATGTTAAATGATGATCCATTGGAAGGAACATATTGAGTAAATGTACGTTATCACTGATACCGATTCAATATGTAATAATATTTCTCATGTTTAATCAATTTTTGACATATTATTTTCCAGTTCTATCAAACATCATTGATACCATTTTATTGATTCTGGAATTATTTGTAAAACTAAGTAAGAGACGTGGGGGTGGGGGGGGTATGAGGCTTTTAGAGTGTGTTCGTAGTTGAAGATATTACTGGGCCTATTTTTACTCATCTAGGCCCCAATCCCATCAGTGATGTCAAACGGATGCAAGCCTATATGCGATAAGGTCAATAATCGTTTTCTCCACCTCATAAAAAAAACTCCTGCTATTTGGGTGACGTGGGGGGGGGGGGGGTATGAGGCTTTTAGAGTGTGTTCATACTTGAAGATATTA